GGCATTGTGCTTACTGATGGGTTTTTCTTCTTTCCCCAGTTTGCAATGAATCCATTTTATGAACTCAATACTCCTATTCGATCCACTGCCTTTGAAAGGAAAGTCCAGTTCCTTGGGAAGAAACACCTTTTAAGCTGAATAAATAAATCTCCTGAGTGAGTGCATTTTCCCTACTTTCCTGGTTGTTTGAACTGTACTTTGTCTGGTTAGTCCCCTGCATGTTTTATATTCATCTTTTAAGACTGACTAATTGGATGCTGAAGCAGCTTTTTCTTTTGCTGATATGGATAAGAACAGCCAAGCTTCTCTGGCTAAAAAAAGGTGTATCTCAAGAAGTTTCCTTTTATGTGATATGAAAATAAAGTTTTAAACTGTCAGAGGCTGCAGAGGTACAAAGGAAGAAACTGAGACATTGTGTATTAATGCATATGCAAAGTGTAAGCCTCTGACAGAGGGTAGGAGGAAATCAAACCTAAATGCAAAAGATGTTCACCAGTCACCTGGTTTAATATGAGCAAAAGGGAATTCTTGATTGTTGGGCCTAAGTGCTTAATTTTATAATAAACTTTCCTAGTTGTATTCCTTCAGTAGAGAGCTCACTCTGCAGACTAACCAGACTAACATTACACTCTGTGGTAGTAAATCAAGCCTCTATTTATTGATGTGTAATTGTATGTATATAAAGTGCTCAATAAAAAAATGGAAAAATCAGAAAAGCTGTCTCCAGTACATCAAGAAATTCTGAGGAAAACCCCTAAAGTTTAAAAGTGTCTAATTTCAAATTTTCTATGTATTTAGTGCAATAGACATTTAGCTGCAGTGTTGCATCCATGAATGAAGTGAGCCAGATCTGCCCTGACATTAATTCTAATTCACACATGAAAACAACCCAAACTGAATTTACATGTTTAAACCCACTGTTTTTTCCCATTATTTCTTCAACTGCTGAAACTTTCTTTTTGTAAATAAATTTAGAGGAGGATCTTTGCACCATCAAACTGCACTTGATGAGGTTTCAGAAAGGCATTATTTGACCTGTCTGGCTCCTATTCCATTGTAAAATGTTTTAGGAACCATTTTGCAAAACTTAACATCATTCCAAACCAGTAATTTTTAAATAGATCATATATCATATATGTACCCAATACTTTGCTTGGGTTTACAATATTAAGTATTCTGTTTCTTTTTGCAGCAAATCTGTATAAGCTATCTTTTACTTTTTTTTTTTTTCAATGTCTGAAAGGTAATTTCCAAAGGAAGTGGCATTCTATTCTGAGAAGTATTTTGCATAGTCTGTATAATTAAGGGGACCACATCTGTATGTGCTGTAAGTGTATAGTCAGTCATTATTTCTGCACTTCTGTCATTGTAAAATGTTCCATGAGAAAAAAGAACATATTTACCTTAAATAAAACATGAAATGTTGTAGTATGGATGCCTGTTGAGTATACTTGAAGTGATTTAGAAGAAATCTAGACAACCACAGTAACAGTACCTGCTGGGGTGGCCAGTGAAGATGGAAATACCTGTCTTTGCCATGTTTTTCCATATAAACTGCATTGTACAGCACTTGGATAATGTCATGTAATTTTATATAAATCAATTTTTTTTTCTGTATACATGGAAATAACAAACACACTTGAGGTAAAGCATTCTTGATCATGTGATAAGGAGCCACTGAGATGCAGTTATTTTCTGCCTCCTCCCCTGTAGCATGATGGCTGGAAAAATAATAACAGTTAAGATTCACTGAGGAAATACTTTTAATTAATCATATACTTAGCAGGAAGGAAAGGTTTGACAAATATGAAGTATTAGTGCTAATAGTTTCTACCACTTTTAGAAGCTGTTTTTTATAATTGCATTTGCTGCTGCAGTAGGACATTAAGTAAAATGAAAGAATTTTCTTTCCTGCCTGATTTCTGAAGGCAGCCAAATGGTGCCTGTTCTTATGCCTCCCCTACATCTTTCCCTTTTTCCTCTGAATGTAGGAACTGTAGATGGAAAATGCAGACTCAGGTCCACCTAGGCTTTATGAAAACAGACTGTTACTGGCCACAGGAATGGAAGAATTATGTCCTCATTCATCACCTTTGTCCTAGAGTTTGTGTGTCTTGTGACAGAACTCTGAAGGCCTTGGTAAGGTAGCTCCAAGTTCTCCATACATGGACAAACACTTGTTTATGCTTTAGTTTGTGAGTCTTCTCAGTCAGCTGAAAGACCACTAGCTGAAGTGAGGGGTGAAAATTATCTAGTGGTCAGCTAAAGTCACAAATCTGCTCTAGGCTTGAAGGCTGCAGTTCCAGCATGCTTCAGGGAACAGTTTCTCAGTGAAAAGACACCTTTGCAAGAATTATGTTTCTATCCTCTATAAGGGGCTTAAGAGTAAGAATTCAAAATAAAGTCTGTAGTAGTACAAGAAAACAGAGATAATCTGCATTATGCAATAAAGGCAATATAAAGTTTATGAGTTAAAGGGACTAGAATTACCCTACGTCATTCAAAAATCAAGCATAAGGCTATGAGAACATTAGCACAAGCTAACATGAATCAACCTTCGTAAATCCGGGCTGGAAATACAACTCGGACTCCATTTTCTGCAAGGTTCTATTACTGTTTAGGGAACCTGTCAGGTGACTTAAAGTAAGATCCATTTGAGGTATGGAGCAGCTGTTAAAGCAGCTTATGTAAGCACTGATACAGTTTGTTGTGACATGAGCTGTCAGCTGGCCTAGGTAGCTTCTTCTGCCCCTTCCCATTCTGCTCTCTAACAAGCACAGCTTTCAGCAGTCCCACCAACCTGCCACAGCAGCAGGTTTTACACTGGAACTTTGCATACATGTTACACAGTATGCTCTGTCAATCTACAGAGCTCCACGTACTGCTAACAGGATGCTGTAATATTTGAGGTGTGTCAGCCCTTGAAACAAACCAGTGAATTGAAACATAAGCCACAAATGCCTACCCTACATCCATATGGAATGATACCTAGCTTTTACAAAGTACAGAAATTAATGTCTGTTATTAAGCATTATGATTTTATACCTGTCATCCATAACTGCTTGTCAAAAGATTTTTGATTCTGTAGGCACTCAGTAGGTTCTCTGTGAGATCAATTCCTGACCTAAATCTAATTCCTATACAGTCTTATTTACTACAGCATATACACACCTGTTTATCTTTACTGGCCACTTTTGTGAGGAGTGTACAGTTGTGGTACAGCAGCTCCCAGGGCACAAGTAATACACTTCTATGGGATTATGTTTGAACTTTATTAAATCTACTTCTGAGATGGATGCTTGGTAACCATGATGTGAAATGGAAAGGGGACGGATGGGAAAACACAGATGCCTGCACAGAAGAAAGACCACAGTGGTTCTCATCCTTCATTCTTCCCTTTTAGCAATCTTACTTGAATGGTATCTATAGTACTCTAGTCCCAGTATCTTCAGCTCCCGGTTTGTTTCAACCTTAATCTCTGCTAAAATGAATGTTAAAGGAAGCTTTAAGTAGTAAGGTAGTGGTTTTACAACAATTTCATGTCACTAGATTAGTAGCCCCTAACACAAGCAATCTTAATTTCTAAAGCTTTTTGCTCTCTCATCCTAAGATTAAAGAGGGATTTAGCTAAGATTTTCTTCACAGATCTTTTCATTCATTGACTAGAAATTAAACGTAAGTAGCAGTTCAACCTATATTTAACTGCTCAGGGATTGAAGTTTAAAACACAGTTCTGTTGGTATAGATGCAGGACTGCAAGAATGAATCAGACTTAGGAATGCATAAAAGATACAAAGATGGAAGCTTTAAGCAGGAGTAGCAGATCTGCAGACTAAAGTTGCCCTGGACAGGTTCGAGCAAGAATACATTCAGAAAAGTGTACTAAGAGCAACAAGAAGGGTTTGTTTTTGCAAGCTTTACTTCCAAATAATTACAGCTGATACAGATTGATCAGATAGTTTTAAGATAAAGTGCTTGCTGGTAATATACTCTCAAGAAAGGCATTTCCATTGAAACAAAAACGTTTCTGTACAGAAAGCAGTTGTTTAATGAATAACATGGTCTGTCCCGCAGCATCAGACTTCCTCTCTCAGACCACGTGCACATGTGTGCCTGTTAGCAGTCCATTACAGATGGAAGCAATTGCTACTGCACTAGCAATTTTGCTATTGCAAGGACAGTGGTTACTCTGAGAGCCAATAACCATTTCTCATACAAGTATTCTACCACTTAAACTGCAGCTGAAAGCCTCAAAAACACCTGTAGTTTTTGTCTGCCTGACTGCAAAAAAATTGTCCAACAAATACAGAATTTGCTCTGGTTCATAATTATGAAATGAATTCAGTAATATAAAAGACATTATCTCTTAAAGGTACAAGTCCATATCCTAAAATAGCAATTTTAATAATGATCAAATTCAGCTCAAATATTATCTATAGTTATATACCTGTATTAGGGCTGAAAGCTGTCAAATCTACTGAAAGTCAAGAGCTTCCTGAGTTCTCTACATATTGCCAATCCTTAATATCACAGTGCAGATATTACTGGTAAACACATTCATAGCTCAGGTTTACAGGAACAAGAAGTTTGGAACTTCTAAGGCTGTACACAAGTTTTCCTAAAAAATTGTCACAATGCGGATCCTTTCAAGTGCTATTAAAGCTGACTGAATAAAGCATTGCTTTTTCAAAAAATGGTTACAGTTCAGTTACTCAGATTTTTCACCCTATTGATCAGAAACATGCTAGAATGGACTTAAGGCAAGGACACACATTAATTTTAAAAATGATCAGCATTTTGCATTAAACCACTGGAAAAATTAGTGCAGCATCAGAATAGTATATGGGAAAAAATGGACATTAAATATGTACGAAATTTTCTTCCTACTTACAAACCTACACAAATTACAGCAACATTAGGCAATTAGAAGACCTGGATGTAATTTATATTAACTTATAATAACCACATTAGAGATGAAGTACCACTCACAGCAAAAGGAATGTAGTGAGACTGAAGTTTAATATCTAGCATTGTTAAGAAACTGACATCTACCGAAACAAAACTGGAATGCCGATTTCATAAAAATATACACATATAAAAGTATCTTTGTGCCTGAATTCCAGAACAGCTTCTCCAAAGTAGTGCTTCTAGAACTTTCAAGTTTTCATTATATTCAAAGTATTTATCATTTGAATAAAGTTGGCAAATTACATTCTTATATTATTTTTTTCCTTGATGTCTTCCTAAACAGAAAGCATCACTAATTCAATAACAGGTCACTCATGAATGGAGATTTTTCTTTTTCTCCCCCATGAAAGCAGCAGAATATTACGATTTTAATATTAGAGTGAAACCCATTTGTTATTCTATCTATTACACCTTCTCCATTCTTTTATAGAGTAAGCTAGCTGACAGTAATTTGGCAAAAAGAAATTTAAGTCAACAACAAGATGAGCTGGGCTTCGGTTTCCGATGAAGGTTTACAGTATCTGTTTGAATAAAGTGATCTGATCTATCTTCAGAGGCTAGAACTCTTCTAACAGCTTCTTCAAAGGCTGCTGCAACGTTGGTAGCATCTTTTGCACTGGTTTCAAAATAGGGATGGTTGCCATTATTCCTGCACCAGTCTTGGGCTTCTTCTGTAGATACTTGCCTTTCATCAATATCAACTTTGTTACCCAGTATCACAAATGGAAAACTTTCAGGCTCCTTGACATCTGCATAATAAATGAATTCTTTCTTCCAGTTGCTTAAGTTTTGGAAGCTTTGAGAGTCATCCACACTGAAGGTTAGCAGGCAACAGTCAGAACCTCTATAGAAAGGAGTCCGCAAGCTCCTAAACCGTTCCTGACCTGCTGTGTCCCATATCTGCATTGTAACAAAATGTCCATCGACTTCCAACTCTTTATTTAAGAATTCCACACCTATTGTATGAAACAGCTGTGCATCAAACTTGTTGGTGACGTATCTGTTCATGAGGGAACTCTTCCCAACTCCACCATCTCCTAGCAGTATTACTTTAAGGAGTGATGATTTTGCTGCCATCGTTACAGGAAAAGATCCTCCTGTTTTCCTAGACCTGCAAAGATTAGGGAAATAATTAAAAACAAATAGGTGTGAACACCAAATTTTGCACATGTAAATATCTAGAATGTGTTTTAAATTCCACCAACATCAAGTTTCATGTACAAAAACACGACTCCACTAAACAGGTGAACTGTAGATACACTCCAGTAAGAGTACCCACTCAAGAATATCAAATTAAAGAGGTTTCTCTTCCACAGACTGCATCTAAGCAATATGCTGCATAAATTATTGGTCTGTTACTTAAAACCATTTTAAAACCCCAAATCCTTCAAACCACCCCCCCTTTGTACTGAAGGAGTATCACATCACATTCAACAAGTGCTGTAATTCATTTATGTTCACTGGAAAAGGTTAGTGGAAAAAAGCAGAGTGAGAGAATTTTATAGAGCATGTGCCTTGAACTAGTCACTTCAGTGCTGTATTTTATTACCAAAGTTATTTTTTAAACCAAAGCACTAGGAACACAGTTATCTATGGAACTAATGCAAATGCTGTCATTTTATTTAGATGAGCAATCAATAGTTTATAGTTTACTCCTTGCAGTACAGCACTGATGAATGGAATACTGTTAAAACTACCAGAAGAGAAAATTTATTGTTACTACCTCAATGATACTCAAAATGCACATACTGGGCCCAAGCCTACAATGACAGTTCAGTCAGGAGGTGTCAACTTCCCATAGTAAAACTGCCAAAAATTCTGGAAGTGCTAGTGAATAGTCTGGCTGCCAGCATGGGGACGGCAAATTAGTGACACCAAAAGCTTTTTAACTGTTAAGACTTAAAAAGAAATTAAAAAAAAAAAAATCCTTTAGCACTAAAGTAGTTTGCTCATTAGTGCTTTGTACCCAACCTTTGCCCTCACAACTAGCAGTGTCATCTAATACTGTAAAATGGTGTTTTAATTGCTTGGGGGTAAAGTTTCATTTTATCAAGCCCAAACTGAAGTTTCTGTATGAGAACTGTGTTCCTAAACCTACCTGATAGTTCGGGCTTCAGCCCTAACAGGCTTCTCTGAAAATAGCAGCTATTTAAAATGGAAATGGGTCATAAGTTGCCAAGTCCCTCTCTTTCTTTGAAGGAAGGAATGTGGTCTTGCTAGTTGTAATTAGCATTACTGGCACATACATCACCCACGGTGTGGCTGTAGAATTAGTACCTGATACAAGCTGGCGTGAGAGTCATATGACTCTGAGCTGCCTTACAATCAAGGCCTACAGTAGGAGCAAGAAATTTCAGGAATTTTTTTTTTTTTATCAGTTTCTTTCCATCTTTGAATATTTACTTGCTTCGCACAATCTACAGTAACACAAAAAGAGTTTGAAACCTCAACACAAAAAAAAAGTCAAAATACAAGGAACTGACTGCTTCCATTTAAAATTTTTTCACAGCAAGTAATTTAATTCATTTATACCGCATAACTAACAACAATGTTTATAAAGCCTTAATTCTGTACAGGTTTGTATGATAATAAAACTTCTTAGAAGCTACAAGAAGATAGTTCATTTACCCTTCAGAGAGCTACAGGATAATGGCTATGGCTCAGGTTATGATCACATACATTTCAGTGCATGTGAAAAGCCTCATTAGAGTCACTGGACTACTTGCATAAGAGTTGCAGGTTTATATACTTAACTCTCAAAATGGTCCAGTGTATTTATTTATGTCTCCAGTTTCTACATCAATAGATAGGAGCTGCTCCTTAATAAATAATGCTTTATGGGAACAGAGGGTACTGAATGTTCTCCTGTTCTTCCCTACCAGTGCAGGGAACAAGGTATAATTTATTCTTCCAGTCCTGCAGAAATCAGAAGTTCCGTGAAAGACTAATGTGCATAAATAACTGGCTTAAGTAGTTCTGACTGGTACTATGCACTCATTTCTTTAGCATCTGCATTTTTATCAATGGCAGTTATTATCATGAAATTGTCCACAAGGCCACATTTTAAACAAAATACAAGTAAGGAAAGTGTTAACAGTATCTACTACTTTGTGCATCTAGAACCTGCTAAGTTAATTTGCACAATTTCAACTATGTGGGCCATTCTAGTGAGGTCTAAGAGACTGATGACCATAAAATTAGTTTTACTGGGCAGACAATTACAGACCAACCACAAACTATTAAAAGTGGACCAAATTGGTCCTTTCACACAACAGCTACAGTAAGAGTCTTCCGTGATGTTGCAGGCAATGTTGCTTTTCAGGACATTTGGTTTCCACAGCTGCCATGCTAGGCTAGAGTTAAGTTTCTGTCAAGTTTTTATTTCAAAATAAAGGAATATACATTCAGTCATTTAAATAGATGCTGACAAGCTGTATCTGAAACACCAAAGAAGCACGTTTGAAAGTATTAATAAGTATTTTTGTTTGAAAGCAGCTAAAACTTTATACATTTACAGTTTTATTACTATATGAGGGACTCATCTGCAGCCACAACTGATAATGTCATTTAGAGTGTCTGCTGAATCAGAGTTGTATTTTTCAGAACAGTAGACTGCTGCATTTATTTTCTGATTGTACATCTTTAAATATGATTTTTAAAGGACTCAATTTTTGTAATTGTTTTTTCTAAAGTTATGAAACCTTAACACTCCAACAAATAATACAATGATAAAATGCTTAAGACACTACAAGAATTTATATTATTTCTCCTATTATACAATTTATCTGTACAATGTGTGTTTTGACAGTGTTTTTGGAAGGGATGGTTAACATACAATATGATGTTTCTGAAAATTTACTAAATCAATGTTTCAGTTTTAATCATCCTTCATGATCTGAAAACAAACCAAAAGCTTAATTCCTAATGTGCATCTGATTGTTTTACCCAGCATCAAGAATCACAAGACAGAATAGTTATTTCTTAGTGAGCTACACAATTAGTTAATGTAAAAGTAATCTCAACCTAGTAGACAAAGGGCCTGTAACAAGAATAATTTTCCTCATGTTCTTCAATCATTTCAATATTCAAAGAAAGCAAATAAAAAGCATCCCCACTTTGGTTCATTTTGATAACCATTTCTGAATTGCTTCCCCTAACTTAAAAGGATTACAGTGCTGAAATCACTGACTTCAATATTCCTGTTAAAAGCAGGGAACATTTTCTACTAAATGTAATTTATGACATGATCATATACCATAACACAAAAAAGTAAATTAACTGTTGCCTTTCAGGATGTCCCTTTTAAACAGTAAAATGAATTGCAAGTCAACTATTTCCACTATCAATCCAAATATTTGCTGTCACAATGAAAGACAAACAGCTAAGCAACCTCAGAAAAATCAGTTTGCATTACAAAATCCAGTCCTGCAAAGCTTAATGAAATACCACTGCCTTGTCCAGTCTATCCATCTAGATTGTGTTACTTCCATATGTCAGCTTAATATCTGTCTTTGAGTGCAAATACCTCTCTTGCATAGATATTGAGGCAGCACTCAAAGAAAAGCAAGATTCTTGGTCTAAAAAACGATAGCAGCAACACGTAAACTCAAGTCTAGGAATTTGTCCTTTTTTACTATAAAAATAACTTCACAGATTAAGGAGGACCCACTCACACCAGTGTACTGAAGGCTGAAGACAAATGCTGAACTCAAGTTTTATGGAAAAACAGTGCTAGTCAACACAGTAACTGCACTGCATCTATGTCAGCAAGCTGCAAACCCCATGTAAACTATTAATCAAACCAAGGCAATTTGATCTATTTACCGTTTCATTTTTCCCATGCTGATACCAGCCATTGCAGCACACCATTAAAAACCCAAACAAAAAAACCAAACCACTGATATCTCACCTCCACTCCCCATTTTTAATAGGGCACCAAAACCTGGACCTATTGTAATACCACCACTGAACTGTCTTAGCATTTTTGAAGAAACAGATGTAAGGGACACTTATAATTTCCAGACAATTGCTTCTCCACTTGTATTACTTTCTAACTTGGAAACAGGCAAGAAAATTTGTTTCAGTTAACACTGTCATTCAGTAGTTGCTTGATGAATCACCTGCTAGACAAAACCAAGACTAAACCTAAAGGTTTTCTTGAGGATATATAGTACACTGCTCTTTAAATGAAGCTGTTGAACGTGAAACAGACTCCAGTTTGTTTCCATCATGTAAGTAATCATGTTTACTTACAACCTAATGTGCCATCAGCCAAAAAGGGGCCATATTTGATTTTAAAAAAGACACTAAAGTTATGGACAAGCAGAATTAGTAATTCTACAAGCATAACATTGACCATGTTTCACAACTTCCTATTCTCAAATTTACACATATAAGCACATCCATTTCAGCTTATTCACAACTTTATTTACTAAGCCACCGTATTTTGTTAAGCCACTGGTATCAAATTAGAAGTTTTAAAAGAAGTTTAAAAAGAAGTTTCTTTAAAAGTTTTAAAAGAAGTTTTAAAAGTTTTAATACTTGCACCACTGCAAGTATTTTGACTAAAAAAACACTTTCCTTTCACTAGAAATGTAAACTCCCTCCCTCATTAGTAGTTGGGGTTTTTTCACAGAAACAAAGCATTTGACAATAACTGCCAGGCTAGCATAGAAAATGTAGTTTGTTAGTTACAGCAGCCCATCAAAGAATGACATTAATTGCTTCTCTGTGAAATGTCTGAAAAGAAGCCCCAAGAACTACAAGAGTTGCAGCAGAAAGGGCAGAATCCAAAACTACATAGTTTTCAACACTTACTGTTTGTGGAGGATTTACATTTCTCAGCCCCCAATCACTACAGTGGTTAAACTTGTTGCCTATAGCAGATCTGCAAGTTTCCAAAAATCTGAAAAGAAAGGACAGAAGCATGTTTTCTCACTTTTCTCCCCTTAGCCAATCCTTGTTCTTATATTTGGGAGGTAGTGGTTTATACCCTGGTCAATTAAGTGGCAGAAGAATACTTTTTTAGCGCATAAGAGGCCACAACCACGTTTGACCTTGAAAGACTTCTTTCTCAATTGAAAGGAAAACAACCAGATATGAAGCCAAGATGCTACAGGCTTTGTACTCTTGAATGTGTTACAAGCAGAGACATTGGTTAGCCTCCAAACTGACCCTCCCCTCCACGGGGCACTGATGTAAGAGCTGTGGATCAGGAACACCCCTTTACTGACAGTCACTTGTCAGCTGCCTCCAAGCCCTTCAGTCATACAGCTCGACCTACCAAAGTCCTAATCTCCTCACAAGTCTTCCTTCCTGTATCTGTGATTTCACCACTGCACTATGAAGATAATCTGTCAGCAAATTATTAAACATCTATCCAAAAGAAAACACAGACTATTTGAAATTGCCTCTAGTTGTAAGCAGCCTTGACCTAACACCAGAATATCAACTGAATTTACTTGTAATTTCTTATATAAACCCAACCCAAAATGAACTGTCACTCAGCTGTTGCCACTCATTTGGATAACAAAAGAGTTTTATTTGGGGGTTTCTTTGTAAGGCTGTTTTTGACTCCTCTGAAGCTCAGGATTCTAGTTCAAACAGTTGTCTGGCATGACTCAGGGCTATGAAAGAACCAGTGGGCAAGGAAAGAAATCCTGAAGTTCATATAACCCTTGGATCATTAAATCATTTCAGTACCCACTGCCAGAATCACTTCATTTATTACAACTCCTAGCTAGACACAAAGTCAATTAGCAACATTTGTCAGGAGAAATACCTACATTTATATCTCTGCCAGTTTAATCTTGCATAAGCCTAACCTTCACCTCCAACCTCATTCCCAAATTCAAGTAAAATGAGCAAACTTACTTATTCCAATTTAATCAGAGTTGACATTTCTCAGCAGTTCACAGTTAAACATCTTCCAGTTTAAATATTCTATTACTTTCAGCCAACTTCAAAACACCCTTCGGTGCTGCTGCTCCTGGTCCAACATTGCTAACAATGTCTGAGCTATTTGACATTCTCCTTGCAACCTACTTCTCTATTACTGCTCCCACTCTTTCAATAACCTATCCAGCAATTATTTCTGCCCAAATGTGCTCATCTTTCTCCCTTGCATTAGTTTCCCTTTTCCTTCAGGGAATCTTAGTAATAGCAGCCTCTATTGGTTCAAGGCTACCTTGTACATTCATATTCTTCCCAGTGTTACTCTTGTGACAAAAGCCCATCCCTAAGGCATTAAGTGGGTTACACTGTACCAGGCCAACACACTTGTCTGCTTTGCTCAGAAGGAAAACAAAAACAAAACACAAGGGAGAATGAACACTATTAAACAAAAAAAAAAAAAAAAAAAAAAAAAAAAAAAAAAAAAAAAAAAAAAAAAAAAAAAACACAACAAAACAAAAAAAAACAAAGCAACAAACCCTAAGGACTTCTTACAAGCCTTCTTGCTGTGAAGTTTTTATTCATTGTGAAACATTTATGTAAAATTCCAATCTTAAGGAGCTGGAAGATCTGTTTCCCATAATTTATTACCAAATTGACACAAAATAAAACAAAGCTTGAAATTTACATATCTTATTTGACCCTCTGCAATTCTTTTTTTACACATATTTTCAATTTAAGGAAACTGATGGTGTTTGAGCACTCAAAAGTAAAACAAGGACTGCTAGAGCATGTTTTTGGTTATTTTTTTTACTACACACTGTCTCTTTTTAACTTTATGGAAAAGGCTTTACTAAAATTAAGACAGCAAAGACAGCACCATGCTACCTGAAGACAGAGAAAAGTAACAGTTCATTATAAATTTGATGTTGGTATGAAACACAGATAGAGCTGTATCATCCTTTGATTAGGTTTCTCTGAAAATAAAGGTGCTAAGAAAAAAATGTTTTGGATTTATTTTGGGTATGTGTGCTTTCCCTCCAGTCTGCCATTACAGCTTGTTACCTTCAAAGCTATTAAAAGTAATGGAAAAACACTTTGAAAAAACAAAACAAAAAAACCCACCAGTCACACATAGCCACCCTTGCTCTAAAAAAAGCTAGCACTGACAACTTCAGTGTTGCACAACATGTTAAAAGTAAAGACAAATAAAACCCACATGCTTATTTAGTGTAGCTGTAAATTATGGACAAGAAGGAAAACAACACATGGGATGGGAGGCTGCATGACGGCTATCTGCAGACAAGCATTTCAGTTCCTGAACAAAACTTAGCCAAGAAGTTCCCTACTTAACTGTCCCACCCAAGTTAATAGAACTTAAATGCTCTCCACCTATCTAGTTACATGTAACCTGCTATAAAGGCACTAATGGAGGTTTTTAAAACTATATTTCTTGCACTATCCTGCTATCCACTAAATTGTTTTGAACAAGTTACACGTAACACGGATTTACTCGCACCGAGAGCAGCCCATTAACCACGCAGACGTAAGCGATTCCCGGTCCCGGCCCATCGCATCCCTGCCCGCACGCGGCCCGCAGAGGCACCTGCCGCCCCGGGAACTGCCCCGGCCCCGCAGAGCGGCCGAGCCGCCACCGCTTCAGAAAAGGAGAAATGAAACCCAAGGGCGCGCTGGGCAGGCGGGCCCTCTCCAGCACGGAATCCACTGGGCTGCAAAAGACCTCTGAGATCACCGAGACCAACCTACGGTCGAACACCTGCCTGTGAACAGCCCACGGCACCGAGTGCCACGTCCAGCCCTTCCTCAAACACCTCCAGGGACGGAGACTCCACGGCACCCTGGGCAGCCCGCTCCAAGCACGCAGCAGCGAGAAAAAGGAGATAAAAGGAGCTGCAATACTCCTTCTGCTCCCAGTCTGAAGCGTGTTGAGGATACAGGTACGAAGCGAGTTTCACCCTGACAGACCAGCGATGTCTCTCAGACGTGAGGAAGCGCTCCGGGGTCAGCGACCGGCCACACGCCAGCTGGAGCCGCTTCCCAAAGGAGCACCGCCTGCCCCGGAGTCACGGGATCCCGGATCACGCCACATTCCCCGCCACCCGCACCGGCTCTGGGGAGCACCCGGGGCCCCCTCCCACCGCGGGCCCGGCCGGGGCTCCCTCCCGCTCCCCGGAGGCTGCGCCAGGGAACACCGGGAGCGCGCCGGGGAACTCGGACAGCGGCGGGGGAGCGAGCGGGGAACGCGCCAACAAGGGAAAGGAAAATAACGCAACCTGACTCGGCTCCAGACCGCGGGAAGGGAAGTGCCGCCGCTCCCGGGCGCGCTGGTGGGGCCGATCCCTGCCCGCAGGAAGGGGCTGTGGCCGCTCCTGCCGCCGGTCCCGATCCCGGGCTGCGCCACCGCCACCGGGCGCTGCGGAAGGAACGAACATGGCGGACAGACCGAGGGCGGGGCCGGGCACCACGTGAGCCAGGTCCTGCCCACCGACCCCGCCCACCGGGCAGAGGCCACGCCCCGACGGGAACGGGGGGAGTCGCTCAGCCCGAGCCGCGGGAAGGTGCGGGAACAACGGGAAAAGGGGGACAAGGGGGACAACCGGCAACGGGAACAGCGGGAACAGCCGGCAACGGGAAAGACCGTGCCCACAGCCAAACCAGCGCCGGAAAGGCCCATCGAGGGCCATCTCTCTGCGATCACTATCGTGCGCCGCCTGACAGCGTTCCCCTGGGAAAAAAAACCTCCACTTTTACTTGCTCTAGAATGCCCTGCATTATTAAGCCCAAAATGCCTTTATAAAGCACCTGCCGGTCAGAGGTATTTATTAAAGGCAGTAACCTCACCGTGCTCCACTCTAAGGGCCCCGGGTACGCAAACTCACAATTTTAAGGCAGCTTCACTTCACAAGTAGAAACATTTAATGTGCCAATGAAGGAATTCATTGAAATACATAACATGCTATTTTTAAAAAGTAGCCAGGCACTTTTTTTCTTGTAGTAATTCAGAATAACACCAACTTGACCAACTGGCAGGGAAAAAAGCTAAAGGACACGATAAGAGTATTTTCTGTGCTCTTACAACCTCCTCACGAGGGCAAAGTATAATTAAAATGAAAAAAACCCAAAAAATCAAAGAGGTTCCCACACCATCAGGAGGAATAGGTGATGACAGGCATAAGTACACCCATTTGCTCAAGGAGTCATCACATGCTTCTGATCATAAGGCAGATGCAACCAGACTGGAATTGCCACTTGTAGAGTTGTCTTGTTTTGGATCAGAGAGCAACACGGCCCAAGGAATGGAAAAGATCTCAGTATCATCAAAAGGAGATGTCTCCTACTGACACGAACAGGATTATTAAAAGGCAAGCCATGCTAGAGGCAAATTTGATGATACCAGACCCACTTTTATCTAACAAAGCTGGGCTTCAAAAATTTTTAAGTGCTTTTTTCCTGGAATCTGCTTTCATCCAATTCTAGAATAAAAGACAAGCAATTGCTGGAGGGGTAGGAAAGTGGACTTTAAATTATGGTAATTCTAAGGTATATAAACTCTGATCAGTTATAAATCATTATTTTATGATTTATACAGAAGAAAAAGCTGCATTTAGAAATGGAGGAAATCATTACTCTATTTTGCACTTAATATCTTTTAGGGAGAAGCTACCATGTTTTTGTTTTGAAACAACACTGGATTTTGTTTTGAAACACATTGGATACATGTGAGGAAATTTAAAATTGCAGGATAGTTTGGCTTGGAAAGGACCTTTCAACATCATCTAGTCCAATCACCCTGCAATGAGCAGGGACATCTTCAACTAGATCAGATTGCTCAGAGCCCTGCCACCATCAGTTTGGGTAACCTGGTACAAGGTTTCATCATCCTTGCTGTAAAAAAATGAATTCCTAGCCTGAATATAGTCAGTCTGTCCAGTCTGGATCTATGCTCATTTCTCATCCTACTGGAACAGGCCCTGCTAAAAAGTCTGTCCCCATCTTTCATATGAGCCCCTTTTTAGGTCCTGGAAGGCTTCAATGAGGTCCTTACAGTCTTCTCTAGGCTGAACCACCCTAGCTGTCTCATCTTTTCCCCACAGAAGAGGTGCTCCAGCCCTCTGATCATCTTGGTGGCCTCCTCTGGACCTGCTCCAACAGGTCCATGTCCTTCCTGTGCTGGAGAACCCAGAGCCGGATGCGGGACTGCAGGTGCAGTCTCATGAGCGCAAAGTAGAGGAGCAGAACCACCTCCCTCAACCTGCTGCTCATGATGCCTTTGATTCTTTCTGGGTTGCAAGTTCACATTGCTAGCTCATGTCCAGCCTCTGATCCACCAGCACCCCCAAGTCCTTCTCCTCAGGGCTGTTGTCAATCCATTCAACTCCCAGCCTGTATTGACAGCAGGGGTTGCCCAAGTACAGCATCTTGTACTTGGCCTCATTGATCCTCATGAGGATCCACTTGAACCCAGATCTTCAGCTTGTCCAGATACCTCATTTTTTCAAGTTCTATTAAGAAACAAAATTCTTGAACTTCTCAGATAGGATGTATCTTTATTTCCTTTACATGGGAACATATAAGAAAATAGAAAAGAACCATGGTGTAACCATGGCTACTATGCTTATGATTTTATAGGCACAATGGAGCATGGTAGGGCTACTCTCATGGTTAATACACATGAATGAGTGCTTGAGGATCAGGAACTGAAGGCCTTTTCCTTGTGTCCACTCTGTTACATACTATATATGTAACAAACACAATAGTTGCTACAGAACAACACAAATTGTAGAACAAATAATGGGGCTGGTCACATGAAGCACACCTGCCAGTCCGGAGGTCAGACAGAAGAACACTCCCAGTTAGGACACAGTTTAAAACAAGCGCACCAAAATCACTCCTGTTTAAATTCTGCAGACAGGCAGGATCCCAGTGGAGGCTGCTGTGGGGCTGCTCCTGTCCGAGGCCGCTGTCTGACCATCCCATGTGGGGGAGCAGGGCTGGGGCAGTGCTTCAGAATCCCACTGCCAGCAAGAGCCCCGTTTTGGCTCAGGCACTGTACAAGCCTGGTGGCCCTGTTCCTGCACCCCACCTTGTGCACCAATCTCCGTCCGACAGCACGTCCCCAGGCTTGCCCGGTTCTCACTGGAGTTTTGGCAGATCATTGTCACTGGACCTGCCTTGCTCTTGTTTGGGTGCTGCAGGACAGTGACCCTTACAACTGAAGTCACTGTCCCTGCATGTCTTGTCACCCACCATCCTCCCCTGGCTCGCCTCCCCCTGTGCAGCAACCCACCCTTGCTGCCCCCTCACTCTGAAAGCTGACCTTGCACTTTCGGGATTTTGTTCACAGAGGTGTATTCATGTTGTTATGCCATGTCAGAGAAAACAGCACAAAAAACATCCAATGGCAAATAAAGGGCAACTTTTTGTGAGTAGGAGGAAGTTCTGTATCAGCAAAGCTCTCTTATAATAAGAGCTTGTGAATAATACTTTTTACCATCTGTAGCTGGCAAGGAGACTATGTCCCATCCTGGCAAGGGATGACATGGCCTCAGTAAAACATGACTTTGTCACCTCTTGGATGAATTACAACAGCACAAAATAAGGGGATATGAAGTCATTTATGGCTCTTTTAAAACCAGAAGCAGCAAGCCAGCTCTCAAGCAATCCAAGAATTTATCAAAGTGCTCTTGTTTCTTTCCTTATCTTCCAGGCAGTCAGTGAATTGGACCATTACACCCTGAAGATTCCCTGAAGGACTGTAATATTTGCTCCTTAACCACAGCCGGTTACCAGCTAACTTTTCTTCTTGGCACAAAAAAAAGAGCTGGTTTTTGTTTAAAGAGCTGCAGTTCTTTGCTTTAGTAGCAAATGTAGACAGCACAGCAGACAGAAAGGAATACACTTTAAATGAAAAATAAACAGCAAAAATTTCCTTTTGGTTTTGAAAAGAACAAAGAGTTATAAACAACAAATGGCAGCTGAGTACCTCCCCAAAAAGTGAACAGTAAGAGGGATATGACAGAGATGGAAAAGGCACTCAACAGAACAGATGGAAGTGGATCTGGCAGGGGATCTCCAGGAACCAGAAGGAGTTTTGTTACTCGTGTTAAGGGAGCGACATTGACTACAATTAATAGAGCATTTCAGATAGAGAATAGTGTCTTTGTTTTTTACATTGAAAATTGTGTGAAATTCATTGTTAATTCAGTTCTCATCTTCTTGAAATATGTATCACAAGTTCTGCAGCTACAGGCTGCTTGATCTTTGAGAGCAATTTATGTTTAAGACCTTTTTGCTGCTTTTAAATCACAGGATTCAAGGAGTTGAATTTACAGCATTTCTGGAAAACCCCATGGAGACAAATACAGACTTTAGCCTTGTTAAGCATGTATTTGTCCTCTGTTTGTGGGGATCACATCTACCAACACACTCCTTGTAGGAGTAGCAGCACAGACATGCTAAACATCATACCCAAATTAATGGTCTCTACTTAAAAAAGTTCAGAGATCTTCTTCTCACCCGGAATGAACTGAAAAAAAAATACATCAGCAATATAAAAGAATCTCATTTTTCAAAGCTTTTCCTTTGTTTCTGGATTCTACTTCCTGTACTCCAGTGATCTACACCCTCCTGCTCTTGTACACACTATGTAGTTGCATGTTTGCTTTTTAAAGACATCTTGAGACAAAGCGTATAATATAGCATATAATCTTAGCCAGACGAATATTTTAAACCTGCACAGTTATACATTTAGTGACAGGCAGTTCAAAAGAAAATGATGTTACACATTATGTCACAAATGTAGTCAGTGTTACAGATACAAATTTTACCCTTGAAATATATTCTGTCAGAAACACCCTCCATGCCTTGTAATATTTCCCTTTTCCAAGATAAAACTTGGATGAGCTGTACATTACTGGAATGGCTTCAAAACCAACTGCAGGCAGAAATTATTTATAAGTTGTTCAGAGCTAAAATAAAGTCTTCTGCTACATGGTGTTCTGACACAGCACAATGCTGGCATAAAGCTCTCCTCAACAGGACCATGACCTTCAAAATGAATGCACACAATCCTGTTCATGCTGTGATCCACTAACACAGGAGTGTTTGCTTTCCTGTAGTTTCACTGAAAGCTAACAATAATACTTTACACAAAAGTACTGTCACTTAAGCAGGACTACTCATAAGCATCAATTCCAGCACACAAGTAAGGGTTGGGAAGGAAGGCCTTGGTTACACAGCTGAACACTGAGGGTCTGGCCTAAAGCTTTAACGTGTATTTTACATCAGTGCAATTCCCCAAAACCACAGGTTTTTACATGCTAAAAATCTAACTAATGCTGCTGAAAGGTAACTGTTAACCCTTCACAGAATAGACTTTTCTTTTTTTTTTCAGTAGAATACTTTAAATGTCTCTTTGTAATATCAGGTTACACATAAATTTCCCCATATACAGATAAGGGTTCATCTTTCAGTCCTGGTTGGCATTTAGTTCATCAATACCTATTTTCTCATCTCATGCCCCCATCTCCTTTCTCTGAGAGGTCATGCAGCTATGTCACAGCCTCAGCTACATCACAGCCAGATGGGTGCAGAACTGTCCTCAATTCCTCCAGCAAATACTCAGCAGGTTCCTCTGCTCTGCTGATATATTTTAACCTTGAAGTGCTAAATGCCTGTTGTGCATTTGTAAAAGATACAGGTAACTTACTTTAGTGAGAAGATTTTTTTTTTTTTAATAAATACTTCTAGTGAATGATGAGTGAGAATCCTGTTGACTCTGGAACAAAAGTATGCATAAAAACTTCTGCTATTGGATTTCCTTCTATTCACTGTTTGTGGGTAATGTGCACTATATAGAAACATTAATTTTCTCAGTTCAGGACAGATGTCCCAGTTCCAGAGAGGATATCCACTCAAGAAAGTTATTAACTCATTTATTACATCATTTTCTGAAATAATCCATTGTCTGATCTTGCGTTAATTTCTTTGCAGTAGCAGGACACACCATCTTACACTGTAAATTCAAGCTGCATACTGATAGACTGTCACAAGTCCTGTTTTCCTTCTCATAACTAATTCTAAAGCAGAATCTCATTCTTGCTTTCATCTGCTAGCTGCTTTTTACCCCCTTTAACAGTCTACTTTTAATTTCTTTTTTCCCTGTTAGAAATCACCTCTCAAACCAACGTAATAATCTAACGCTTGCAAAAAGTGATTTAATTAAGGAGTGAATCCATGCTGAACATTCTGCAATGCACATAAGTATGTGAACTGCAGTTTTGGAAACTGTTTACTGTAAATGAAACTTACATTCCATGAAAGAACTCCTCCTGAAGTTAAAAAAAATTTCCAAGTATCCAGACCCTTCAGGAAAAAACTCAGCACTTGGAATAATTTTAACGGATTTACTAGCCAATATTCCACTCAGATACAGTGTAACCATTTTTTCCCTTTATCCTTTTATTTCTTTACATATTTACATTACTTAAAAACATTCGTTAATTAATTCGTTCAAGCCATCTTTACAAACACATTAGCAGTTTTTTCAAACTGATTTTGCAGTTTTTAGTGGCAGCACCCACATAGTATCAGCACAGGATTTTAAATTACAGAGTTTCAAAAGAGGTAAGTTGTCATACACATTTCCAAGCCCCTTTTTATAGAGGGACAGCATTACAAACAAATCCATCTGCTGTGATACCACTGTTCTCCACATTCATTACAAATAACGTACGTCAACATTTGTTCATCTGGATTTGTGTTTCGCACCCAAGCTGGAAGAAAGAGAGTTCCTCTGGCAATCATAGTGACAGTGCAATCAAATTTTTCACAGCGTCTGCACTTTATTTTGTTTGTCTGTGTGCCATTAATCACCTGCGGAAGCTGATGTTCCTGAACAGATGATTTTGTGTACAGAGCCCTGAGCTGTTTCAGTTCATCACTGGCCATTTCCATCACTGTCATCTCAGCAAAAGCCTTTGGGCTCAAAGTTCCTGAAAAAAGGTTATGCTTTAAGTGGCAACTTTTAGGGTTCTTAAGGTTAGAGATTTTACTTCTGATGCAATTTTTATACTTTTTGTCATTTTTAGCGTGAAGGGCAAAAATATGTTCTTCAATTTCTTTAGCTAACTCTAGCCATTTAACAGTTTCTTCTTCATCTTTGGCAGAACCAATCAAAGCTTTGTAAAGAAGATCCACACATTTACACCTCAGAGCTCTCATCAGATCCTGCTGCAGACTTGCTTCGCTGATGACAGATTTAGAATCTTCATGAACAGTGTGTTGTTCCTCAAAAGAAGAATGCTGATTAATACTGCCTTCTGCATTGTTATGTACCACATTTTTAACAGTTTGTGATGGGACCAAAGTGTTGGAACTAGTGCCATCTAATGCCTCCTGCTGACATGGTCCTTCAGACAGTGACTCCTCTCTAGGAACTACACTGAGATGCTCAATTTCTTTTTTCACACACACTGAAACTGACTTTTTAACTTGCACTGACTGAGCACAGTTATTCTTGTAAAGAGTTTTCCACCTTGACAATAACTGCTTTGCTTTCTTTTTCAACTCTCCTGAAGGGCAGCTCTTGAGTACTCTATATACAGCCTTGGTAACTTCTGTCCCCTGAAGATATTCTACAGTCATATCAACATCTGAAAGTTCTTTAAGATGATCCTCAATATCTTGCAAATTGTTCTCAGACAGCAGTGTTTCAATACAATGGGTTCTGTGTACAATATCTTTCAGATCAGACATTTTTAAACCTGGAAACAAAAGAAAAGATCATCACCTTTCCTGTAGTTATGATATTAATTCATCTTCTGTATATTCACACAAGGTCTTCTTTCCATTTTATGCTATTTTACACTATTTTATTTATATATATCACTGGGTTTCCCACCATTTTCTTAAAAACACCATTCTGGTTCCTACATGACCCTCAACTTTTCATTTGCTATACAAGAGATCATCTCTTTCAGAAGTTTCTCCTTACGGCTATCAGAGAAGCAAGCCAGTGTCACGACTTTTACCTGAGGTCCCACTGCTGCCCTTCCCCTTGCTATCTCTGTCATCGTATTACAGATGGATTATCAAGATGGGGCAGCTCGAAAACAATGACACCTGCAGTATTTCAAAACACTGACATCTACAAATTTTGAAAATTCTTAAAGGTTAAAGACAGATCTCTCTGTATTTTCTCACAGCTGTAGCATTATTAAAGCATGCTCCCTTATATTCTCATACATAAAGGAAAATCAAAGGGGGTCTTCAGAATGCAGAATTTAATGGTTTCAATCTCATAGTATTTCCTTTTGATTCATTTTCATTAAGCCCTTTGATAAAAAAATGTTCAGTGCATTGTTATTGCAAATTCACATGCAAAAAAAATTTATATTCCTAACACTATTTTTCTTCTTGCTGAAAAGGAGAATTAAATGTAGAGTGCAGAAACGAATAGTGTGTTGTAAGTGTTGTGTTCTTTTCTGCAGTTAGTCTTCTAAGTTTATGCATGAAATCAGTGTTTTGTCTGAAACTGCATCCATCCTGATTCTACTCCAGAAAAACTCCTCTGCCTGACAGAGACAAGGTTGGCTACACACATCCCTATGGGAAGAAGTCATAAGCCGGTTACTTGCAGCGTCGTTTCCATGATAAAAACTCCTGAGAACAGGGCTAGAGAAGGGACAATAGATACAGCTGAGTAATTTGCACAGTTGTTTTTATGACCACCACCAGCTAACTTGTCTTTTACATGACAGAAACAAGTTCAAATTTTAGGTAAGACCTCAGAGCTCCACAAAAGAAAAGGACAGAGAGGATAAGACTTCACTTTTTTCTATAGGAACAACCCATCTTCCACAGTAAATGTTCTCAGCATTCCCTTAAGTTGTATTTAAATACCCATCTTACATTTTTAAGTCCTACAAGACCTCAAGAATGGCCATTTCAGAAACCAATTTATTACTCAAGAAGTTTCAAACTCAGAGAAACAGGATGCAGTTTTCACATACTTAAGTTGAGCCCTCTGCATCATCATACTAAAAAGAATGTCAGTGCATTCACTCCTCTGCTCTACAGGAACGCAGAGGCTGTGAACAGAAAGAAGAGCTTTGTCATGTAGGAGAGCCATCACAAAGCAAGAACAGTTCCCTGTCTCCAGGATACCAAGAAGCTGACATCAGAAAATTATTATCTGCCAATTTACTGTTTTCCATGCAATCCAGGGCAGAGTTGGTGACAGCTGTGTGTTAAGCCAGTATGACTGTCCTATGCCTTAGAATCAGTTCTGCTTCTTCCAGCATACTCCACATTTTCTTCAGATCTTGTGTCTATCTATGTATATGTCGTATTATGCTCACACACCATAAAACAGACTGATCTAAATGCAAGATGAAATAATGAACTCTCAATATTTAGCATACAGGACTATGGACACACAAAGAAATTATCACACACAAATGTCTGCTGATAATTTGTCAGTGCATATATTTCTATCTTGTGGCAAAGGTGAGGTATTTGGATCTTCCACTGAGGGCTATGTGTCATAGAAAGCTTCCTCTCTAATACTGGTTGAGGATCTCTGTGTAAGAAATCCGTAGGCAAGATCTGTACACAGACTCTGTGGGTATCACCTGCTTCACGGTAGTGGTCTTTGCTCATCATTACCAACCTGACCCTACACAGCCCCCCAGCATGGCAAGGCTCTACCTTAGGACTCCTACACTAAGGCAATAAATTAGTTATAACAAATTTTAAATTTTCTTAGTCCCGCAATGACTTTTTCAAGCTCATGCAACATTAAATTCAAGTTTGCATATGTTTTGGCAGCAGTTAAATAAACAAACTGAAATCACAATATGGACATAAAATTATAAACAATTATTTAAAAATAATTTTGGAAATTAAACCATCTAATAGACTACTAATATTTAAGTCAAAACAATCACTTCTAAGGAAATGCTTTTCTCAAAATGTACAAATTACAGCAAAGAGGCAGGATGGAGTGACTCCCTTCAAACTAATAAGCAAAGTTAGGCAAAAGTAACAGAAAAAGTACTTAAATATTTTAATGGAGACCAATTTCACTGGTAATTGGGAGAAGCATAAGAAACAGACAGCAGAAAAAACCTCCACTGAATAAAGGTACTAATCTGTGACATCAGAGAGGGTTTCGCAGAGAAAATGGTCTTGAAATGGTCCTGGCTTTGTTGTGTGTACCTAGTTTGCAATAAATTTGAAAATCTTTCAAGGTGAAAAGCAACACAGACTTCTGAAATATTACACTAAGTACTGAAGTATTACACTAACTACTCAAGCATAAATTTCATCTTTGTTTCCAAATTAACAGGAAGTGTGATGAAAACAATAAAAAGTTGTTTGTATGTTTGTTGCCCTATAAATCAAGTAAGGACCAGATTTATCACCAAGGTTGACACAGACCCCATAGTATTACACAAACAGAAATTAAATAGAGATTCCTAAACTTATCAGGAACATACAAAGTAATACAACAGTTCATTTTACTACCATGGTTTCTTTCAAAGGACAAAGCAAAGCTCATTAATACTGGGGAATGTGCATTGCATTTCATATGAAGTCTGAATGCCAAGCACCTTTTCTGCTTTCCTAATCAAGGCACAACATGATTATGTCAACTGTAGAAAACATGTTTTTCATACTCTTATAGGGAGAAACTTGAAATTACTGATGTCATGGTAATACTGCAGTGCATTTTCTAGCCAAAGCTCACTGGGAACCCAAGTAGAGCAAGCCTAAGTTCTTCCCTGCTCAGACTCCTGTTCTTTGAACTCTGATGTTTCTGTTATAAATCAGATAGAACAGTAAGTTGGGAGAAGCCCCAAAACCTTCTGAAGAGAATGCAAGTGTCACAGAAATCAAGCTGCAATTCCAAATGGAAAATTATTCTACCACTTGAGGGAGCTGTGGCATAGCAAACCCATGAAATCTTTTGAAATGTGCATGAGAAACTCCAGCCTGTGAAAAGATAAAATAATTACGCTACGAACTTTAGGAGACTTCACATTTTTAAGGTACATATTTACCTAATTTTGGAAAACAAACCGTACAGAGTCCATAGATGCTGGGATAGATAGGAGGGAAAGAGTATATCCCTTATCCAGTTATTGTCTGCACAGTGCACTTTGATTTTTTTTTTTTAATTGGGAATTTGACCGCTTTTCTACCTGATGTAATGCAATTTGACAAATGCTGCTGAGCAAATATTTATAAAATTAACTGAATCGACTCAGTCAGCACTGTTCAGCTGTGTTCCTAATTCTAAGAGACAAGAAATCTGAGAAAGACTAGTTTTTTTCTTAAGTTATTAAACGAATCATGCATCTTTGTTAAGCTGGAGCTGTAAGAAAAAGAATGAACAAATGACAGTGTCACAATTTTGTGCAATAGAAAACAAACATCCTCAACCCTCCCACAACTGCACAGGGCACTTCAGTTTAGCATGACAGAATCACACAATGGTTCAGGCTGCAAGGGACCTTAAAGAACACCTAGTTCCACCCCCCCTGCAATGCACAGGGATGCCATTTAGTAGACTTGGTTGCTCAGAGACACATCCAACCTGGTCATGAATACTCCCAAGGATGTGGCAGCCACAACTTCTCTGGGCAATCTGTTCTAGTGCCTCCCCACTCTCTGCATAAAGAATTTCTTCCTAATATCTAATATAAATCTGCCCTCTTTCCATCTAAATCCATTGACATTTGGTCTGGCACTATCTACCCACATAAAAAGTCCCTCTCCCTCTTTATAAACACCTTAAGGTACTGGAAGGCCACCGTAAGGCCTCCCCAAAGCATCCTCTTCTCCAGGCTGACCAAGTCCAGCTCTCTCTGCCTGTCTTCATGGGAGAGGTGCTTCAACTCTCTGACCATCTTTGTGGTCCTCCTTTGGACCTGCTCTAACAGGTCCACGTTTTTCTGGTGCTGGACCCCACAGCTGGATGCGGCACTCCTGGTGGGGTCTCATGAGAGCAAAGCAGAGTGGGAGAATCCCCTCCCTTGACCTGCTGGCTGGGCTGCTTTGGATGCAGCCCAGGGTGCCGTGGCCCTTCTTGGCTGCAAGCGCACACTGCTGGCTCATGTCCAGCTTTCCACCCACAGGAACCCCCAAGTCCTTCTCTGCAGGGCTGCTCTCAGTGACTTCTGCTCCCAGTCTGTGCTCATGTCTGGGATCGCCCTGACTCAGGAGCAGCACCTTGGACCTGGACTTGTTGAACCTCATGAGGTGCTCATGGGCCCAACTCCTCAAGTTTGCCCAGGGCCTCCTGGACGGCATCCTGACCTGCTGTGGTGTTATCTGCAAACTCACTGAGGGTGCACTGATCCCACTGTCCATGTCACTGAGGAAGATATTAAGGGGTGCCAGTGCCATGAGCATCCTGAGGGACACCACTCACCTCTACCTGGACATAGAGCCACGGACCACAACTCTCTGGTTGCATCCATCCAGCAAACTCCTTATCCACTGAATATGAATGAGTCCATCAATCAAGCCCATTTCTCTCCAGTCTGGAGATAAGGATGCCATAAGGGACTATAATAAAGGCCTTATAGAAGTCTAGATGGATGACAGTTGGTCAGTCTTCCCTTGTCAACCCTGCTGTCACTCCATCATAGAACACCACCGGATTGGTCAGGCATGACTCACCATTAGTAAAGCCATGCTGGCCACCTTGAATTACCCTCCTGTCTTTTATGTGCCTTAGCACATTTTCTAGGAGGCTCTTCCTAGGCACAGAGGTGAGCCTCAGCAGTCTGGAGTTCTCTAGATCTTTCTTTCTCTCCTTTTTAAAAATGGAAGTGATGTTTCCCTTTTTCCAGTCAGCAGGGACTTTACCTAGCTGCTATGACTTTCCAAATATACATGAGAACATCAGTTTGAATTCCAAGCATACACTGAAGGTTACAAGGCTCATATTTACAATGAGACTGGGTAATGCTGTGCTGATGAGGCACTTTCTTGCCAAATCATTACAAGCTCTCACTCTGGCTGCATGGTATAATGAGTCACTTGTGTGTACAAGAATAAATGATGACAATCAATAAAAACCTTGTAAGCCAGTTTGCTTCTAAAAAAACCCCAAACATCAGACTACCTCAGGTTTAAAATATGGTCATCCTGTAATAACGCCAAGTTAAATCAGAACATTTTTAAACAGTAAAATGACTAAGTAAGAGAAAACCAACAAACAAACAACAACAACAAAACAACCCAGCTAAGACATTTGCTGTTAAGTGCATGTGCTGTTAAGACATCATGCTCAGTATATAAAGGGGGGGGAAGAAGAAGGAAGGGGGGGACATTCAGAGTGATGGAGTTTGTCTTCCTAAGTCACTGTGACACATGGTAGGCTCTCCTGGAGATGTCTGAACACCTGCCTGCCCATGGGAAGTAGTGAATGAATTCCTGGTTTTGCTTTGCTTATGGGTGCAGCTTTTACTTTTCCTATTAAACTGCGTTTATCTCAACCCATGAGTTTTCTGGTTTTTATCTTTCTGATTCTCTCCTCAAACCTGCTGCTGGGGCAGTGAGTGAGAGGCTCTGTGGGGCTTGGCTGCTGGCTGGGGTGAAACAATGACACGGGAATAAATGGTCTGCAAATGTTGTGTTTAAAAATGTCAATGCTATAGCAGAGATGGTGCATAGCATAGTCCTGGAAACACCAGCTTACTTTGGGCACCTAAATCCCATATAAACAATGAAAATTACCAAATGCTACTTTAAATTCAGGAGCCTAAGCAGAAATCAGAGAATTCTCCCAGCCAGCCTCCAACCCCAAAAACATTTCTTCGTCCTGTCTACAGTGGAAGAGCAGATATCAACAATGTCACCAAGAAACCATTTACTGGAGCTTTTATTTCATCTGAGCAAAAATCAGCTCTTCCTGCCTCTCCACAGGACTGCCTCCCACACCTAAAAAAAATTTAGAACTAGACAGAAGCTCATCTTCAAAGAATAGCCACATGAATAAAGCTAAGTGAATACAATGAGAACTGAGGCAATACAACACTATAATTTCCAGCTGTCCACGACCACTGACATCTCACTGACCAAGAGTCACCTCTCACAGATCCAGAAGCACTGGAGTACACAGTACTAATATGGAGAAGTAGCTTTGTTCTGCATCTTTTGCACCAGTGACTGCTTGAACGACAGCACTCTCAACTAATCTAGAGCTATAGTGTCTCGACCTTGTGTTTCTCCTAGTGAAATCATTCTCCCACATCTTTCCTCACAAATTAGCAAGAGAAGAGGAGAAATGGCAGAGATGGCATCTTCATTCATGTGAAGATGCACAGAGTATCCTCTTTTACAAGGCCAATTTTTAATCCTTATTTGGAGTTGCTTCTTCTAGACCCCTCCATTTTTAATTAAAATTGAATTCTAATATTCTTAAAAAAATAAATAAAGATAAACAATCAATAGAGCACATAATGAAATTCTCAAGCCTCACGGATCAATCCCAATGCTGAGCTGTCAGCACATGTTTTTAATAAGATCAAACATGCATGGATTTAATGAGATAGGAAAAGCTGGGAAAAGCTGTTGTCCCAACCAGATTGCTTAGCTACTGGCTTCGCTTGACACCAGTATGTAAGCCAGAGATCATGAAAAGGTTCAATATATTACAGCTACACCAGATAAATTAAACCCTGACTTGTTCCATGGCAAAAACAAAATAAGAAAACACTTTACAAATTGAACAGCTACTGCTGTTTCGAGTTCTAGGATGCTCTGCTGATGTTAGAGAATGTCTGTCCCAGAAGACATTACCTTGCTAATGGCTCCTTTCAATAACTTCATTTATAGTTAAACTGATTCACACTGGAAGATATTTTAGCTTTTCCTATATCCTGTCTTCCTTAACCATGTGAATTTTTCTACTGAATGAAGCAGTTAACTACTTGAAACACTGAAAATGCTACAAGTAATGCATTATTCCACTGATATGAAATATTTATTTTTACTGATGTTGTTGACTTTGTTAGTAAAATAATTTTATGGAGTTTAAAAAAAAATTACAAAATTTACTTTTAACAAGGTACAGGTTACAAGTGTCAAGTGGAGATATTAGTTAATCTCTTCCACAACTGGACAGATATACAGACTCACAATACATTCCAATACATTATGATTCAGGGGGCAATAATAAAATGTGTATATAGTTCTGAGAGATTTATTATCAACAGTTTTATTGGCAATTGTGTATAAATAAAGTCTACTTGCTTTAAAATTTGTACCATTTCACATAAAGAAACACTTGTGGAGTTTCTCTATGGTACAACCAGATTATCTTTCAATATTAACTAACTTTGCTCTAAAATCCATTTCCTAGTTTGGGAACAAGGTCACAGAAATATTCCATGGAGCTCTCTGGTTTTTCAAATTTTCATGACAAAGCCTTGTCAAAGCTGGCAGAGGAATCCCTTTTCTCTCAGCCACTTTCCACTACTTGTCAGTATGAGGTACTAGCTGGGGCTTCAAGCAGGTCAAAAGTCAGGCTTTTGACATGCAAGGCACGGCACATTTTCTAAACATGAACTCCCATTTTGGCTTCAAGTGACAGTACATAGGAAAAGAAGTGTGTTGAATGGAACTTCAGCAGAAGACTCAGACATGACAATGCTGCTACAGTAAAGTTTATCATGAGATTCAGGCTTTTGGTGCAGCTGCACACAGTTTTCCACAAACCATACAGTGACTTTAGTGATTATATATTAACAGAATCTCCTGAGAGCTAAAGAGTACATCTTATCATCTGCATAAAAATCCAAGCTTGTTAGAAATATATCTGGCATTTTCCCAAAATGTCTCTATGAAGAGCAAAACTTAAGCTGAGCCAAGCAGAAAATGCTAATATCAATTGTTTAACATCACCTGCCTCAGTACTGAACCAAAACTTCACTCTGTGAAAAAGAGTTTTTTGCACTTTGTGAAATTACTGCTTCATTTCCTAACATTCCTGTTTTTTCAACAGTAACAGATTTTAGAACAAAAAAGAATTGCTGTTAGATCTGACAGACTACATGAGCAATGTTTCAGTATTTTCTCCAGCAAGAGGGTATTATAAACATTGTCCCTCACTCAAGAAACATACCTGGAAATAGAAATATGATCTAAGTGGATTTGTATAATCATTTATTAAATAACTACTTTTATGCAATATAGTTTAGTCTCCTAACTGCTCATCTGGATGGATGCAAATATTCATATTCATATTTCCAAGCACTTCAGACAGCAAACCAGCCAAAATATTTCAGGAAGGCTGTGATATCTGCAAGTAGAAGCCAGTTTCTTCAACATACTTTAACTGTATTGCCTTATACAGGTAACAGTTTCAGTTCATTTTATGTTTTGGTGCTCTTTCAACACCACTGGGATTGTATCACTCAGCTGCTCTGCTCCCTCTACTCACTATCTGTGCACAAGAAGCATCTGCAACATTGTCCCCCAAAGACTGGGATATCATAATTCAAAATTCCTAGTACATTGAGATTGGCTTATACACTATGATGCTCTTAGAAGTAAAAAAATGGGAACTGTTCTGCACTTCTTCTGAAGTTGTAAACCTCTAGTCTTGCCATCTTTCCACTGTAGACAAAACGAGTGGGAGTTTATACCTTTTTTAAAAAGGAAAGGTTACAGTATTATGCACAACATGTCTCCAGCAGCCAGCACTTGAAAAAAAATTCAGACTTTTACATATTCTATTATAACTACAAAACACTGAAAATTCTTTCCCTGTTTCCCTATAAAGAAGTTAGCTTTCATGTTCATTCTTGGCTTTACAGCTTTCCTCCACTATTTTGTAATTTTGTCTTAAATTTCTTGTTCATTTATCCAAGGAGAATTAGCACTTTTTAAACCTACAGAAAAGAAGAACATGTTGTGAGCTGCAGGTTTAACACTGGCTTTTAAGTGAGAGATCTCAAACTTCCTTCCATCTATTTTTTAGTCTCCATAAATATTGTTTATATCCTCTTGCAGATGTACCTATTAGAAACCTGGACAACCTCAATCTAAACAAAGCTTTCCCAAGGTGGATCACACTTCCTTGTTTCACTGAGCTCTGCATTGGCACAGAAGTCCAACAAAACAGACTATCTTGAAGACAGAAGCCTAAATCAGTAAGCAAAAATTTACTTAAGACATATCCATCCAAAGTACATTTGTTAACTTAATACTTCAGAACAAAAATATTAATAATTTTGGAGAGAAATACGCAATGCTTTCTCTTGAACACATTCCCTTGACAAAATAGCTTTAAAGATTATTCTTAATCATATACAGCTAGCAAGGAATTAAATTCTAGCACACTACAAGCAAAGGTAAATGTTTAGTTTGCAATGACTTCTTATGGAAAATTGTGCTGACAAATTCATATAAAAATGGAACATGTAAGTAATAAAAAGATGTTTTATGAACTTCTGCAAGCTTTTCATAATTTGTCAGATGAACACTGTGTTTTCATTGCTTTAACATTCATTTTTTTTAGTTAAGTCTTGGCACTACACTATTTCTATTTGTCATTCCATTGCCAGGGCCACACTTAGATTAGGTATCACTCTGTTGTTGTTTTACAGGTTTTCCACCCAAAAATTATAAAACGTTTTTCCTTTAAAAATAAATCCTTTGTATGCAGGAGAGTACATATGCTCCTGAAAAGGCCATCCATCCTAAATGGATAAAGAGTATGATTTAAACAAATGGTATTTCTAAAATATTATTAGTGTCTGCTGACATTCTTTATGCTAAAATATAAACACTTAAAAGTAAAAATACATAATTTCCTAATACTTTAGAGTCTTGATCAAAGACCCATGATGTACTGGTTCAAGCAAAGGGTGAAATACATTTGAAATTAAATGGATTTTTATATATTTAACTATTAAAATAATACTACATTTAAAAGCATGAACTCTAACTCCTTTCTATATTTATGCCAGCATATGTTTTATTTCAAGACATCAATGCTGCATGAAGACCAATATAAAAAATACATAAAGAATTCCCATAATAGCACCATTACAGATATCCATCCTGCAGCTTCCAAGGTCAGCCTCTTCTGTGAGAGGAATTACAGCCACTTTCCATATAAATCAGAAGGGAAGTTATGGCAGCTGGGAGCAGCAGCCCAGCCATGTGCACTTGGAAGCAGCTCACATTCACTTGGCGTCAAAGCCAGCCACAGGTGACAGCTTGTCTGGCCGAGGTTTGGGGTCAGGCTCATGCCACCAGCAGCTGAGCATCCCCACTGGAACCTCCATCCCGGTCAGCAGGCCACGAAACCTGGGGGAGCTCAGCCCGCAGATCTGCCGTGTTCGCTTCCCAGGAAACGGGTGGGCCCGCACACGCTCTAACTGTGATCCAGAATGCCAGGGGCACGCTAACTCTGTGGGGTTTTCTCCAAATGCTTCATTAAAACTTCACGGAATCTTAGAATTAATTAGGTTGGAAAAGATCTCAGATCATCGAGTCCAGCCTATGACTGAACATCACCTGTCAACCAGACCATGGCACACGTCCACAAACACCTGCAGGAACGGCGACTGCACCACCTCCCTGGGCAGTCCAATCCAGCATCTGATCACCCTGGTGCAGAAATTCTTTCTAATGTCCAATCTAAACCTCCCCTGACTCCTCACACCCGTTCCACATCCCCGGACCCGTCTAGCTTAATTCTGACCCACGGCTGTCCTGCTCAGGGGCGAAATGCCGCCCCGCACAGCTGGGCAGGAGGAAAAGCAAGCACAGCCCTACCTACCAAACCCCCTCTTCTCAGGGCGCTGTTCCCGTTGTTCCCCGTTCCCCTCCGTCCCGAGGGCAGCCGGGACTTGCGCCGCGCTGAGGGCAAACCATGGCTGCGGAGCAGCTGGGCGGTTCGTGCCTCCTGCGACTTTCCCCCGACCTCACCGCCAGCGCCAAGGCAAGGGCGGCAGCTCCCCAGACACTACTGAGGCGGGGAAGCGGCACTCCTGCTGCCCCCGCGAACACCCAGCGCTGCTGCCGCACGCCCCTTGCCCCGGCAGCCGGGCCGGCGCCCTCACCTCCGCCGCGGGGCCCGACATGGCGCCGCCCGCCCGCTTCCTGCTCCGCCGCCATCGCCACGCGGCTGCGGCCCAGGCGGCTGCGCGCTGCTCCCGGCGCTGCCGGGGCGCTGGCGGACAGCGGGCTTGGGCAGCTCCGCTGTGGGTGCAGCACCGTGAAACCAGGAAAGAGAAACCACGTCCCGTTGTACCCGGAATGCTGCGGCCAGCAGGACCAAGGAAGCGATTCTTCCCCTGTACTCGGCACCGCTGAGGCCGCCTCGAGTACTGACTGTGCACACTTCTGGGCGCCTCACTCCACAGGGAGCACTGCGGTGGTGGAGCGTGTCCGGAGGAGAGTTGGGAGCATATGTCCTGTGAGAAGCGGCCAAGGGAGCGGGGTTGTTTAGCCGAGAGAAAATGAGGCTTAGGGGTGACCGTATCACTGTCTACGACCACTACAGGAGATTGTACCCAGCTGTGGATCGGCCTCTTCTCCCTAGTGACAGGATGATAGGATATAGCCTCAAGCCGTGCCAGGAGAGATTTAGATTGGACATCAGGAAGAATTTCTTCACAGAAAGAGTGATTAGATCCTGGAATGGACTGCCCAAGCAGGTTGCAGAGTTACCATCCCTGGAGGTGTTAAGGAAAGTTTGGACGTGGCACTTGGTGCCATGGTCTGGCTGGTGATGGTGTTGGGTCAGGGGTTGGATCTCGAAGGTCTTTTCCAATCTGACTGGTCCTGTGATTCTGCTGTGGGATGACCGCAGCAGGTGTATTCCCTGTGGGCTCCTGTGCTGTCCCCATGGCTGCCGCAGAGTGAAAACACTCCCGAGAGGGCAGCAGCCGTGGAAATAACTTTCTGTTCCGTGCAGCCTCAGGTGGAGGGCACAGTTTCCACTGAGGCTGCTGGCTGTTTTGGGCGTGGATCTGGCACATGACGTGGCTGTGGGTGAAAGGGACACCATGGTGCTGCCCTGTGGCCCCTGTGCAGGGCACGGCCTTCCTTTGGTATCTGTCTGTGTCTGGGGGAGCCCCATCATGCTCCTCTCAGCCCTAAGATGAATGAAAAATAAATTACATTCATGTGATTTTAAACTTTAACCTCAGTGGTGATATGGTCCTTCTTGAACAAACATGGCTTGGAAAGGCAGTGTGACACACAAGGTAAATGAGTGTCAGACCCAAGGCTAGCAGAGAACAACAACAACACAAAAAGTTGTAAAACTTCCTGTTTTCAATATAGTACTGTGTTGCTTTTGGTATAACCAACTAATCTTTTGGATACTAAATGGAGCTATTGGTATACACAGACTTAAAGAAAATAAATATAAAATGTCGCAAGTTTACAGCTTTTTGATATGATGAAGTCTGCTGGACGTGTCATTATGCAGTAAACGTCTAAAAGTAAATGTAGTTTAATCAAAGTAAAGGTGTTTGTCATTGCCTTTGTTGTAGTGCTTTCCTCTTTCACTCGTATTTACTCTTTCATGTATTTCACATAGGTGTCCAAAATTATTTTTTTAAGAGATTACTACTTCCAGAATTTTGGCTCTACAGCAAATCTGTAGATGATGCTGGGGTTTATACTCTGACGCAGTAAAATACTGGTATGATTTTTTGATACGTTTGTAGTTTTATTCATTAATGAGGTCTGTGTTGCCCTCTGCTGTCAGTAATCTGATTTTACCTACCTGAAGGCAGCAAATGTGTTTTGGCATGAATATAATGTACTGCAGACCTCTTTTTCCTTATTTTGACATAATGAACACCACCATTACTAACCAGACAGGGAAAAAAAAGCCTTGCATTGTTGTATAGGATGTAAAACAACTAGATAAACCATTTATTAAATTGTTGTAGTGAACCAGGTTATCAGTGCTCATCACTGAGTGATCTCAAGCCTTTCCTTGCTAGTGCTGCAGTGGTTGCATTATACACTGATTGCTAATGCTGTTCAATGCTTCACTCACAGTGTGTTTGTGCCAGACTCCTGAATTCATGAGTGATTGAACGTGTGATACAATGGTTAGCCCTGAGTAGCTGAAGGCCATAGCTGAAATCAGGCTTCCTTTTTACCCTGTCTTTGTGTCTCACACAGCAAAAAAGTGTGGGACAAAACCTATGCCAAAGACTTTATGAAACAAGACATTAAGAATTTGAAGCGTGACTGTCCATAAATGGCACAGTAAGATACTAGCAGAACAGGATCAGAACCTTTCAGGTTCAAATGTGGCATGTCATCCAGTGGCCTGTGTTACATATTTTGAAGTATTTCTGCAGCCTATGTCAGGAATTCAGCAGCAGTTCTCATTGCAATATCCAGGAGTTTGCATTTTCATTTCAGTTTGAGGTTCCAAGTCTTTAGATGTCAGTTTTGTTTAGTCTTTCTGTGTGATTATGAGAACAGTACACACCGGATTCCTTATGTCCTCAGCTGAAAGTGCCTTGCCTGCTACACAGGCACAGAGCTCCCGTGGCAGGAAGGCAAGAACAAGCATGGCATTTTCCTTGTGGTTAGCCCTCCTTTGAGATGGGATCAAAACTGAGGATGCTCCTCCTGGAGACTGGTTTCTCACTCAAAGGACTGTTCAGGCATCTCCATTAAATTGTCTTTGATCTAATGAATAAGAGATCATTATTCCAGTTTCCCATTTATAGACTGGATGCAATAATGTTTTCTCAATTACCTCTGAAGTAAAGCAAATTTTAAAAAAAATTATTAAAATTATACACTCAGTAAATTCATACATATATGTATACATGTGTAATGATATATGTGTATGTTTTTGTGTTTGTATGGTTTTCCAGGATAATATCAGTGCTACTGTAACAGTGATAACTTCCTTGAAACTTCAGTATTGGCTGTGATAAGTATCTGCATTTCTAGAAACATAGGCTTCTATTCAACAGATGGAGATATTCTACCAGCTGGTAAAATATTGAGTATCCAGAGAACTGTTTGGAAAAATGTTGGTCCGTCATAATGTTTCTGTAGAGAATAGTATATGCTTCAAATAAGCCTCTGTAATTTGTTTTTTTTTAAAAAAACAACAAAACTAAATGCATGGATATTATTTATTCATAAAAATATTTTTTATATTTTTATTTTTAAAATTGTGTCCTATCTTAATGTCATAATAGGACCTATGGCATTAATTTCATGGTCCACCACTGTAATTCTTCCTGAAGAGCTTTCCTCAGTTTAAGCTTTCTTTGTTCAAAGGTTATCCTGTCAATAAGTCTGAATTTGTATTGATTTTAGAGTTCCCAGAAAAAAAGCCAAAATTTAGAAATGCGATTCTGTTTTTGAAAAGGATCCCTACCTTCTACTAGCAAGTGAGGGAAAACAAAAACATAATATGAACCATGAAGCAAAGCATTTTAAAGAAATAAAATTAAATTAAATAGGGACCAAAGTGTTTTGAACAGTCATCTCCCTCCATCCATAATGATATGTGGAATGGAATCCTATGTAAATGCCATGTTCATAGACTCTGAAAATCCAAGAATTGGACCATACTTTGGAACTTCGGTTTCATTTCATGAGAGCACTTTCAATCACAGCACTTGAAGTTTGTTGATACACACAAAGAGTGACTTCTTGGGTGGCTGTTCCTTTCAAGAGTCACTTCCACATTTTCAGGCTCCGATCCAGTTCTGAGAGGGAGGTGGATGAGGCCCTGGATTTCCTAAGGCTGGTGCTGAACTGATGCAGCTTCTGTGTGATGAGATAAAGCCTCCAGCACCGAGCAGTGGATGAGCTTGGCAGTAGTGCTGCTTAGCTCTCCTGATATGGCAGCCCATGCTGTTTATTTCCATGTCTTGAGATTCCTGTGCATTTTCTGTAACACTGGAATTGTTACAGAATGTGTACAGAATTGTTACACTGAATGTGCTGAATTTAGGATTATGAGGATGATGCGCATAAAGTTGACTGGGTAGTGTTGATGAGAGATATTTTCCATGTATTTCCTGGCTCTTCCTCCTGGCAGGAGTTCCAGTACATGGTGGGGGTATGGTACCACCTGGAACGCTTGAAATTGAATTGCCAGGAGGAGTATGAAGAAATTCTGTCAGAGTCAGTGGAGTGTTATGAAGCCATCTGAGTAACTTGTTTAGTTAAGCACTGAAGAATACTTCATTTGAGGGAAATTGAGATAAGCAGCTCTCTCTGTGTCTCCTTTTCTGCTATGCATAGGCAGTGAACCAGTCTGGTGTTGATGAGCCAAATATGAATTTGTTGTGGCAGCCCTGGAGTTGTTTATATACACACAGTGCTCTTGAAATAGTTACTTCTGAAGGAGCCAGCAAGCAGATCAACTACAAAGTGATCCTGTGTTCCACCACTACACAACTTGGTGGACTGCAATGCCAGTACAGAAAATATGAGAAAAATATATTGGATCTTTTTCAGTGCAAGTGAGTTTCCAGAAGAAAATGCATTCAATTCTCAGATAATTTTCCTTAGAATTATTAGCTAATTTGGAGCCACTGGCTATATTGATGTAAAGAGGATTGATCATTATTTCTTATTGTGTTACTTGTGGTGACCAGCAATTAATTTTCATATCCCATTTGCTTGCACAGTCACGCAGTATCACAAGATTCTTTGCAGCCACCTTTCAATTTAACTCTCTTGAACCATAAAGGCAACATTATTATCTTGCTTTTCACACCTTCACATGCATTTTCAATAGTGTACACACTTGAACCAGTCTACAAGTGCCCCCTTGCCTCTAAAAAGGGTGACTTATTTTAAAATCCTGGCAATTTCAAAGAAGATGAAGAAAATTAGGACTCCCATATATTTACATCCTCGGCAGGAAAGTGATGCTAATGATTAATTCACTGTAAGTGAACATGTGGCTTTCTTGAGTACAGTATCTGTTCTAGCACTTTTAAAATCAGCAGTTAACATTACTTAGTTTAGAATAAAATTAATGCTTGAGGGGAGGACAGTTTTTTTGTGGGTGATTTTTAAATATATTGCTTCTGATTAATTTATGGCATGTATTTCTAAAAGTTTTTATCATTATTTTGTACCATTTTATCACATTTGTGACTTCTCTTTTTTATGGCATTGTATAATTGTAAATTGAGTCATTTTTTCAAGTGGAAAGACAAATCCTTGTGCAGTACACAAAAATACCATGATTTAAGATATCAAATATAACAAAAAAATATAATACTGCAGTGAGTCAAAGCACGGAGATTACAATAACTGTAATAACCTGCAGTGAATCAAACCCCAGGGATTTAACATTAAACTGCTATCAGTCTGAAAACAAAGCCAGACTCTGGTTGATTGCTTTATCCACCTAAGTCAGATTTACTGAATGCTTCTCAGAGGTGTCCAGTTCAGCAAGCAGGTTTTGGGCATCAAAGTTAAGCACTGTACAGCAGCAGAAAGCAATGGAGCAGGGCAATCTGCTCTGGACAAAGATTTCAAGTGCCTGAATGAGCTGCTAACTTTGCTACTGTCTTTCTAAAGAGCAAACAGCAGAAAAATAAACAGGTCACCTCCTCTATACAACAACAACAACAAAAAATCACTGAATCACAGAAGGCTAAATATTCCCCAGCTTAGTATTTTCCAAATAAAAAATTAATAATCAGTTTTCTCAACAGTTGTATAATGTACCCCTCCTGAAGAACTGGGGAGGGTCAGAGAGACTGTATGTCTAATTTTGTTGAAATCAAGCTTTAAAGTCATGTATTTGAGAGGTTAGTAATTGTTAAAATTAGAAATTCTTTTCTATTAAAAATCTTTCGCTGTGATGAGCTTTAATGTAACAGTTGCACATATGACCAAGTAAATTACTCACGCTTCATTGCTATTTACCTTTTCATTAATATATTGTCATGAGTTACGATACCTCCAGTACATGCACTTGTATGAATCTGTCATTAACAATATACCAATGATGAAGTAAATATGAGCAGCAGTTATTGAAAACCTCTCTTAATTATCTCGATCTTTTTGATCCTGAAAAATTGCATTTGGGAATAATTTTTTAATATATAAAATAGCATCTAATTGCTGGAAAATGTTTTAAGTTCCTTTCAACTGCAGGTTAAAAGATAACCATCTTTTGGGAACATGCCTCAGCATTTCCACGTATTCACCGTGGTCAAAATGAAATACCTCTGTTAGTTCTTTTGGCAGCTGAAGAAAAGTGATTCAAACCTTTTGTTACAACATTCAAGATGAAATTATCACATCTGTTGAGTAGCTTTTGAAGGATGCAGTATAGATTTGGGCAATTAGCTAGAAGCTCTTTTTTTTCATTAAATTGCAGCAGTGTAGTCTCTGAAGTGTGTTATCAGACTTGAGAGTTACAAATGATGTTATCAAAGTTCAAGCCACATGATTACAACATAACTTTAACTTGCTCAAATACTCCCAGTGCAGTTTCCTTGCTGTCTAAAATAATTAAGCAGATAATGGATTTCACAGTAATGGAAAACTGTCAGGAACATTTTGAGGCATTAATGATTATAGGCATAATATGTCCTTTTACTGTTTTCATCTGAAGGAGAAACATGTAGGTTTTGCCCTTAGCAGTTCCATTTTCAGAATGAATGTTGCAAGCAGTACCAGTTAATTTGCTGATGCACTGATGTGGTTTATATGACTGTCTGTACAAAATGGATTTATTTTGTTGCTTCTGCAGAAGCCATCTTTGAATTTATTCACAACAAAAAAAGGTTTCAGTTTTTCTATTCAGGTCTTACTATGCTAGAATTATGCTATGATGCAAGCTCTCTTGTGAATGATAATCCATTGCAAACAAATGGGAAATCGCTTCTGCATCTACTACAGAAAGCCTTATGGCAGCTATTGCAGTTAGCTGGTACTGATCTGTGCAAATAATTTTCTTACTCATTCCATGAAATACAAAATGTTTTTGACTTGACTTTTGGATAGAATTCTACCACTGAAGTATTGGTCCCACTAAAGTGTATAAGTGATAATTCATGGTGGGCTATGATTCAACCAGTAAATAAATATTAGCTCCATATTCAATGTGTTTTCCCTCTGTTGTTTGTGTATTGAGCTAATACCCTTTAGATAGTATGCCTTCCACAGGCAGTATTTATCTTTCTATGCCCAGTAACTGCCCATGCAAGAAATGCCCAGATGCACTTTTTTAGGTGGACTCAGTTTGCTCCACATATTTACATCATTTGCACTTCAAACACTGCAGCAAGACTGTAATGATTCTTAGGCTTCTTAGTGTTTTATATAGGTGCTGCATAAGTTATTGCTGTTTGAAGCTAGACACAGAATTTTACTTCAGTAAAACTGAATTTTCATTTTTTTTGGATCTTCAGTAAGAATAGTTCAACTTCAGTCAGACAAGGAGGAGTGAATCCAGAAAAATACTTGTTTCACTTTTCTGCCTCACTGTGACCAGGTTATTCAGGCATTCTGACATAATCACAGTCAGCATTCAATTTGATGCTGAAGAAACTTTTCCCTCATTTTGAAGCTACCAGAGTCTTTGCTCTTAACATAAATAGAGTTTGCTTTACACATGTCCTTTTTCTGCATTTCCTCAGCAACTACCAAAGACACCAGGAAACAGATTCCCATGTCAAAGCTGAAGCGCATGTACAATTCCCAGAGCATCTGTTTAGTAACACAAACCAGTTCTAACAAAAAAGCCGCATTTCCTGGTTGCATAGCCATTGTAAACTTTCCAGGTATTTCAGTTTTGCCTACCCTTTCCTCAGCTGTGTGCACAGTGCAAAAATACTGTTTCAACAAGAAATCTCTCAAGCATTCCTGACTTGCTTCATGGGTGGAATTCAAGGTATTTTAACTGGTGTAGTGTTTCTGTTAGAAAGCTTAGGTTCATAAAGGCAAATTCTTCAAAATTCTTCAGTGTTAGAGTACAAAATTCTATTCAGTCATTTTGGATGTACCCTTCTTCATAGAAACCAGAATAAGAAGATCACTAATAATAAACAGTGAGCAACCAGCTTGGAAGGGGATACACAGAAATAACCAAGAGGAAAATGTGTGCACACGTATTTAACTGAACATTGCCTGAATTGGGCATGGGCTTCTCTGTTCTCTTAGAATCCCGACCATTAGGTACATTCTACAGAGATCACAAGACAAACATAATGTTCTTATCTTTCACAGCATTGTCATTTGACTTCCTTTCAGAAAAGATGTAACCTGGATTCTGGTCCCTCAGTTGTGTAGGTGTTCACTGACGTGCACTTGTGAGCATGGGCAAGCATGGCAGTGGGTGGCAGCTCCTGCTCTGTGCAAGAAAGTTCTGCTCACCTTCCTCCTCCTGGGGATGGTGGATAATCCCCACCCTTTTTGTTGATGTTTAAAGGGTCATGAAGGAACTCACAACAAAGATTATTTTTTTCAGTTATGTAAGAGGAGACTTAGTTTGTGGCAACTAGGTCATACTGTCTCCTGGACAATGAAAGTCATTCTTTCTCACCTCTAATGGGGTAAAGTAGGCCTGCAATCCAGCAGGAGCCTTTTGTTCAGTACGTAATGTAAAGCTTCTTAAACATTAATAATGGGTCATTCTTTTTGCTCTTGTATTTCCGTGCCAGTTGCTAACATCATCTGTTAATGGTGAACATTAAATTCTTATAAAACTATAAAGGGATCATTTCTTAACACTGATTTGTGTGACTCAAAGACACTGATGACAGTCAAGGTATTTTACATACTTTATTGGTAATGAAAATATTTCTCAAAGACATGAATCCACTTACAACTTTCTTAGTTCCATCAGAAATGAAATGAAGGTCTTCACTTTCTTCCTACTTGTTCAATAGATTGAATATTTACCTCATGCCTAAGATAAATTATTTGTCAATAGAATTACTTTATTAAAGTTTAGAGCTTGACGTGCTTCAAATATCACAGACCCAGAGGGGTAACAAAATTTGGGAGGAAGGGTGTGCTACTGCAGGACATCCAAGATAAGAAGAAATTAACAAAGCCAGCTCAGCACAGCTCAGCAATAATACAATAGTAAACACTGAAGGCCACCAGGCTGCCCAAGATAAGAAGCCAGCTCAGCACAACTCAGCAATAGTGGAGTATTAAACACTGAATATATACTAGATAAGTGGAATATATCAAGATTAACAACATATAAATAGTGGTCATCATTTTTGCTTGGTGTGCTGGCTTTGTGGATTTACCTAGCACCCATCTTTACACAAGTATTTAAATAACCAAACACCTTGGCTCTGTGTGTGATTGCCTTACTGCACACAGGGTGATGCATACTGATTTTTAGAACAACATACCCACTAAGAATTTAATTATGTCACCAGAAGTAGCAACATTGTCTTAAACACTGCTTTATGTTCTTGTGGAGTAGACAAAGTGAAATAGAAGACTAATGAATAGCCTCAAGAAGATTTTTAAGAAATAAAAGCATGTAGAATTGTAAAAAAGCTTGACCAATAATACTTCAAAAACCCTGACCTTGAATTATAAAAATACAGTAGTATTACACTCAACTCATGTATTAAAATTAGAAGAACTCACAAAAAAGTGTAATCTGCATCTTGCACATCAGTTTTTCTGTTTGCATTGTTGCATTAGATTCAAGGCACAATTGTATAGGTTTGTTTTGGTTTTGTTTTTTAATTTAAAAAAGAATACAAAAAATACACTACTAATAAAATGTGAAAAATAGGATTAAATGTGGTATACTTAAATGTCCATTATCAGGTATCTTCTGGGCATGGACCAGAAAGTAGTATAACATTGTCCACTCCAATTTCTCCAGTTTTACCCTTCCCACGTTCTGATTCAAAAGTGACCTGTCATAAGAAAAGATATGTATTAAGGGTGAAAATATAGTTTATTCAACCATTTAGCAACTCCTAATTAGTTATAATGCTATAAATGAAGAATATTTTATTACAACATAGAACTTAATGACTTGAATCTTTGCTATTTTTAAATCTTTTGTGCATTATTTGAACTAGATTTAAAATCCCCTGCACAGATTTACAATACCAGATGGATTACTTTAATAAGATTATTTACTTTTATTGTAAAAAAATGCAAATTGAGTGAAATCCTCTTATAATAATGTAGTTTCATCGCAGCATGTGATGCTCATTCATTTCATTTATTCAAGACATTACAACTGCTCATTTTTGATCTATTTGGATCCTCAGGTTTTGTGTGCCTCTTCTATATATATTTACATCCTCTCGTATGTATTGAGCATAGTATGTATTCTATATATAAAGAGGGGGATTCTTTTTATGAATAGGATGTCTGGGTTTTTATTTTATATTCTGATTCTCATTTATCTAAGGGCTTTTCTACATCATTCCAGCTGTGCGAAGGACCTTGAAAAGGGCTTGCATTTCCTTTACGTTCACTGTATTCAATTATACAGTAGGAGCCTTTACACAGCACTGAAAATGTTCCATCACACAAATGGAAAGCAGGCCCCAGAATTTCGAGGAGAACCTGGCTGAAGTCCTGATTGAGGCAGTTTCAGGCATACATCAGTGCCCAGTGTTCCCTGTTCGTATGCCCTGCTCCTCTGGTGGTGGGCCTCCTTTGGTTATACATGATGACTCCTTTTCCTCAAATGGTCTGGTTTAGTGTGGTTTGAGAGTAACCTCTTCTATGAAATGAAAAATTTTCATTTTTCTAGGCATGTATGTAGGCTTCTTTTGTATGAGGTATTAAGGGCAGATTTTGATTACTTCTGTTAATTTATGATGTGATGCAGTATTTTTACAAAATGACAAGAATTGCTGGCATCAGTATTCTAACCAGTTGGGGTCATTGTTCTGAAATTACAATCAGGTGATAACTTTATTGCCTCCTAAAATGTGGGCTCCTGTTTTCTATTTCAGATAAGCCTTTTGGTTGCTGATGCCTATAAAACAGTTGGTGGAACACTTGAGAACGAGGAAATCAAACCAGCATGTTCGTTATGGTAATTGGCTAATAAACTGTGTCATACTTACACTGTTGGTTGTTTCAGCCCCCTGAAATATCTCTATTTTTCCAGTTCTCCATTTTTCATCTTTTTCTTTGTTCTCTTCCCAGACAGGAGCAGTTTTTTTGTTTGCCAGGAACACTCGAAGCTTTCCCACTTTCTCACCAGCAAGCCGATAACTGAAAATCAGGCAGTAGATGCTCTTTGGTTTGAGGTCAGTGAGGAGAAGTTTTAAACGCCCCACATCGTTCTTGTGCCCCACAAAAGCTGGAACTGCCATGTAGTAGCCATCACCTTGTAAAAAGAAAATAGTTTTTAAAAAATTATCTTTAATGCACTTGTGTTATTTATTAGCAATTTGAATACGTTTGCTAAGAAAATAAGGGGAAGCTGAAGGTAGTTTACTTGCATAATTTAAAATCACATTGGAGAAAAGCAGCAGGGAGTGTACTTAGCAAGGATTAAACTTATACTGTTGGAAGTCAGATCAGTTTACAGAGATGAGTTCGTATTTCACTGGCAATTACAGTCATTCTTCCTTGCACTATCTTTTGAAGGCAAAACCATCTGTTTTCCAAATGCAAGTCTGAAACATGCTGCTGTGCCTCTGTGGTCAGATTATTTCAGTACTTGAGCTAGGTCAATATTCTCTCCACTGTCCTCTGCATTGATGACAAATTCACAAGGGAACTGACAGCTTATTTCCCATATCCTGGAAGACCAATGAAGTGAAAGACACACACAAAGTCTTAAAGGAATAAAACATCTGGGGCTATAAATGAAGTCATAATCAGCAGAAGTTCAGGGAGACAGGATAAGGCCAGGGTAAGGTTTTCCTGGAAGTGACAGCACAGAGAAGGGATTTAGGGAATTATGTAGAGCAGGAGAGGAAGGATTAGTGAAGAAAGACTAACATGGAAAGACTCTAAGAGGAAGAGAATGTGAGTGTGGGAACTGGTGTAAGCAGCCTGCAGGATCTGTAGGATCCAGTGGTCACTACTGCAGCACTTCTGCAACATTTCTGTGTCACACGAAAGAGAGATCCTTTCAATTAAACTCGTCCAGCCCCACCTTTTTATGTGCACCCACTCAGCAGCCCCACATTGCTCTGATGGAGCTCTTTTTCAGTTTTCAGCAGGCTCCCATTGGTACCTGTTCATGTGTTGATTGCTCTTGAATAGGGCCCTTGCCCTTGGCTTATTCTGAGTTTGTCTTACAGAGTTTGAGATTTCTGAGCAGTTATCCCAGTGATATTTAAACCTTGTAGGTGACTACATTGTCACATCCATCTAAATGACAGATGTGTGATTAAATGTCCTACCAATCTTGGAGAGACACAACAAGTAGTCAATAAGCTTTCCATTGCCTTGTAGTTTGCATTCTGAACAGTTATGTTCTAATAATTTTTCTTACATTTTGATTTATTTGTGTTGATATATATTGCTGATTACTATTTTCTATTGGACATTTCAAAGAAACAATATCCATTCCTAGCGTCCTCTGCCTCTTTTCTTCTATTATAAAGATAACCCACTGATAGAAAAGAAAAATCCTGGATTCTGTTTCCCCTCCCCCACTTTTTTGCAGAGGGTAAGCCATCAAATCAAAGCCTATCTAGATGGCAGATATCTGAATACCTCTATCTCGATCAGCAGGATTCCAGTCAAAGTCATCATCAGCATCTTGCTTCCAGTCACAAACCCCTCGACTGAAGCTGCAATCAACTGAAAAAAAATTGGCAGAGATAAAAGGAGCACTTAGGAGCATATCCTAAGTACTGTTAGAACATTTTGCTCTTTATTCATGCAGTTATTAATGTACAGATCATTCTGAAATTTTAATCTGAATTCAGATAGTGTTGACCAAGATGCAACTGCCAAAAATCAAAATATTATGCAGTAATCCTTTTTTAGCTCAGTGTCTTTTTACTCACACCTGCACATGAGTTTGTATGCTGTGACTTCTGTTTATCAATGGCCTGCAAATCCCCAAGTATAGGTGGAGCTGTTAGTGTTGAACTCTAGCATCAGGAAATGTTTGAGATCTGCCAGCTTTAGAGCTCTCCCTTCTCCATTTGTTACACTGCTGTAGTTGCAATCAGCTCAAGTTCCATTTCCATCCTTTGAGAGAAATTGGCCTCCCATAAGAAGAATCCCTTACATCAGCACCTGATAATCCAACTACACGGAGCTGGGAATAACCCAGATCAGCTGACCTTTAGAGCACCCTGAAAAGGGTGTCAGCCAGAGCACACCACAGCCTTCATGACTGTGCAGATGAAAAGCATCACACACACAAAGGGACACTGTGCAATGCAAGCATGACAGATCAGATTAAGAGTAATACATCAGCCATCTGAATTTCCTCAGAAAGAAGCATCCTTCTTGTTATTTTAATGTATTTTATCATGAGACAGAGACATGCAGTGCATGGCATTTAGAGAGCTTTGTTGTCTAAATCCATTGTTTCTGAGACTACTGCTTTCTAAATTGGAAAAAAAATGTCAACCAGCACATCTATCTATTTTGTTTGTTTAAGATTATTGTGTGCTATGCAACATGTTTTCATTTCATAGACAATAGAAGCTACTTTATTTTTTCATGACTATGAAATTATTCAAGTGAAATTCTGTTGATTCAATTGCAAGTCAAGTTCTGATATGGGGAAACTTTCTATGCATGGGTTATAAACAGTAAAAGTATGCTTGGAAAAGGACACGTTGGAACTGGTAGCATAGTTTGGCCAGATACTGTCTCCAACATGTTCACAAAATCTTTGGTTTATGTTAAAGGCTTTTAAACTAGTTCTGACTTAGCTAACACAGGTTGTCACAAAAAGATACAATACACAGGAAAATAAATACTGTATGATAAAAGTAAGCCACCTTCTTGCTCTGGTCTTGACACTGGAATTTTCCTCTGTGCCAGGTGAGGGCCAAAGGCAGCTGCTTCTTTTACCTTGGGAGCTAGGGAAAACAACTTGTCAAGTACTGAGTCATCACAGGAACAGAAAATGGAACTTTATTCCTTTATACCACCTAACATAATTTATTTAAATAAGTCAATATATGTATTTTCCACTCCACCACAAAACTCATATTCCTAACAGCAATTAGAATTTTAAAAATTTGCTTAAATTGCTGTTTTCCCCAGCACCTAGCCTTCTAACCTATAAGCACTGGAGCTACAGCTCCATTGAATTACAGATTCACAAGATAAACTACAGATAAAATGGTGATTTTTCTTCAGTGACCTGATCTGCTTTCTTGCTATAATGACCAAATGGAACTGAACTCTACCAGACAGCAGGGACAGTGACTTGGAAGCAGTTTGCCAACAGCAGCCTCAAAAAATTGATAATGTCAGAGACTTTGTAATTAGGGCACCAAAGGCCCACAGATCTGCATTCAGGGCAGTGACAGCTGGTGCTGACTGGAAGAGTTGGTAAAGCAGCACCAATGAATGTTAGGGGTGTTCTCTAAGACACTGGCCTGAAAGAGGTGGTTACTCAAGAAGCATTAGTTCTCAGCCTCAGAGACCAAGGGAAATCCTCTTCTGTCTGGTGAGACAGAGGATTCCATATTCTTGTTTACACTAAGTGATCTCTAGATTACTATAAGTCGTTAAAAATTCTATAATTAAGTTTGTTTTGTATTAAGTGATTAATAGATAAGTACACTCACCAAAAAAAAATCATAAATCTCAACTTCTTTATGCATACCCTGTGAAAATAACTAATCATACATGAGATAAGGGAAAGACTGGCTTCCAGTGTTCTATCCTTTGCAAACACATAAACAGGTGATACCTGTGATATGTTCATGGCCACCTATGAAAACAGGAGGAGTTTAAAAGTGCCATTTTAGAGGAGTGAGAAAGAAGCCTTTGGATTACTGCTTGGAGAATGTATTAGTGGAAAGCCTGAAACAACTGAAGTTCATTTTTCAGCCCCATCCCATGGGCAGCTGTGCTAAGAAAAGCCATGGAAATTACTTTTCCCTACTCAGCATTGCATCATATATGGAAATGCCAGATATCGTAAAAGTCATTATTTTCGCAAGGATGCACATTTGTTCAGAGGGGAGGTTTTTTTCCCATGAGTTTGACTGAGCTAGGGCTTTCCATTTAAATACTCCAACATGCTCACACATAGTCAGTTTTAAGAATATACTCAGAAGCAACTGCAATCCAGAGCCTCCTAGCACCATAAAGGCTATGCCATCCACTTAACCTTTCTTCTTCTTCAAAACTGTCAAAGATTGCTCTGTGTACACCAGTGAAAACACACACTAACAAAGAGGCCTGGAGGCACTTCCAGAAGTGCTGAATTGGAGAAGATTCATGCAATCTTATGAGCTTTCTGATGAATTGCCAGAGCGTGTCATCTCTTGCTGTTCTTGTAGCTTCCCCCTGACCTAGTCCATTGCTTAGATCACCTGGATAATATTCATACTTAAGGCAAGAATTAATATACATCTTTCTGCAAATTAATTTTTGTTTACATAGACACATTTAGGAATAGGCACATCCAGATTGGTGTTAAGTTTATTCTCAAGCCATAAACTTGGCCTTGTACTTGGTGAAAGAGGCTCAGGCTGTGAAAACCTTTGCCAAAATGAAGACAGCTATTAAAATATGATCAGTTCTGGAAAGAGTGGAGTGATTTAACAGAAGACAACAGCTGCCAGAATGATTTATTTGTTAAGTTATTGAATTATACTTGAATTCACTTGAGAGAGATACATGCAGGTGTAGCCATGTGCTATGAAGCGAAGAACTGTTATGGACAGAAAAAGAGTCCAGTTTTGTTTCCAAATCTATTTTTGTTTTCAGTCAGGCATTACAACCAGGTTTTGCACTCACTGAAAGCTATCAGCTGCATATTATGAGAAACTGCAAGCTTCAGCTTACAGAAAGGTTTCAAATATACCTTACTGTTTGAAAAGTACCTATATTTTATTCAGATCATCCTCACGCACAGCCAGGATCCAAAGTTTACTCCCTCATAAGTAATAGGCAGGAGTCATAATTAATCATTTTAGCTCTTCTGCTATCAAGTGGTCTTGTAAAAAAGCAGGTCTCCTCTCATGGTCCCTAAGAGCAAGCTCTCACCAGCAAAAGCACACATATGTCCCACTCTAGGCACAGCAAAGTCCATCCTTTTTCTGTACTGCGGATGCCCTCCCATCAATTTATATGCAGCAACAGCTAATAGGTAATCTCCACATACAAACCCCTTCATATCATGGTGCTACATGTTCTTAACCACTGATGTCATCAAACCCATTAAAAAAAAACAAAACCCAGAAAAACAGAGTGGGCACTGTGAAAAAAAAAAAAATCAAGCAGAATATAAGACGTAGTAAATTTAACTCAAGCTTCCTATGTATATGGTATACCACTGTATACTGTTGGACTCACAGGAATATACCATTTCTCTGCTACCATATTCTGCTCTGAAAGAATTACATTTGCCAGAAGTCTGACATATATAGCTATGAACTGAGCTGTGGTGTGAGCATTAATAGCTCACAGAGTGGTGTAATTACCAGAAAAGAATGAGAGCAAACATCATGATTAACTAAAGTAATTCTCTTGTTCAGCATCAAGAGCTGTGAAGCCATAAGGGAAACAGTCCACTTTCAGTATTGCCAAATACTAATCCCTCTTTATCATTCCTGATGCTACCAAAGGAAGTGTCTCTGTGTAATAAAATGGCTACATGATACTACAGGAGTTCTAAGCATGATGTGAATTTCATAAACTGATGAAGTACAGAATATAGAATTTTGTTGCAGTTGGCAATATCATTCTGAATTACCAATGTCAGCCAAAAAGTGTTAGAAACTGTCAGAATTAAGGTTGTGCTTAGTTATTTCAGTGGAGCTTGAGTGTAGCATCTCTGCAATCCTTGCTTATATAACCAAGTACTTTGGCCCAGCTCTCTGTGTCTTCTCCCATATGCAGAAAGGGCACTTCTCATGTAGCAAAGAGCTTTCCAATACTATGGTTTGCTCTCATTTTCACTAAACTATTTTATAATAATGAATAAATAATTAATGATGAATATTACTATCAATAAATAATTAGCTTATCAATAAATAAATACTCCTATTTATTAAACTGCACCTTTCACAAGAGGACACACTGTTCTTTCACATTGGACAAGGCAAGAATCCCATGGAAAATAGTAATTTGAAGGAATTTCAAACTGTATCATAAGATACAAAAATATAAGAAAAAAATCTAAGTTTTCATTGATGACCTTAGTTTTGACATTTCTTACATGTTGTGGGCTTCACTTTGTTGTCTTTAGCTATTGTGTGAGTTTTTTTAAAAAAATCGGTAAATAGCAATTCTCACGAAGGTCCAGTATTTTGGTAGCTAGGCCTATTTTAATAATTTCCATCTCCATATATTTCCCTTTTTTCCTACAATATTTTTCTATGGCTCCCTATGTATTTATTATGTAGTAAAACTACTACAATAAAATAATACATCAATTTAAAGAGACTTTTATATTTTTTCCTAATTAACTACTCTTCCCAGAAGACAAACAATGCCAATATTAATAATACAAACGGCAGATGTTATGTGAATATTTGAGGGGATTATATGGAGGAATTTAATGTTGTAGTAAAGGAATCTGCTGAATAGACATCAACAAAGAAAGAAAAAAATGTACAAATTTATGAGCTGTAAATTTGAGCTAATGATGTTCTCTGAAGGATCACTCAATATCATTAAAATTGAAAGTGTTTATAAAGCCAAATGTTCAAGCAATTAAGCACCTGAATCATGACTGAATTTTTAAGATAACAAAGATAAGTACAGCACATGGAAATATAAAAGGAAGGAAAACACAGTATCCTGAAATGAAAATGAAAATGGCACAATGCTTTAAGTCCTTGAATCACAGTTGGTGTCAAACAGGAAAGCCACAGATAATACAGAGTTCACAAACTTAATGAAACTGCATCTTGAGCATGCTGCTATCTCTGCATGAAGCAGCACACCAACTTTCTGCCAAAATCTCCTCGCAAAATAAAATCTCTCTAACAAATTCAGCATATTAATCTCACATCTATAAGGGAAAATTCCGGCCAGATGTGACTGGAAAAAAGGCAGTATAGGCAAAACTACAGATGAACCACAATGCTTTAATATTTTCAAGCAGTAATATTCATTGTTACTGCTGCCAGCTGTAGTGGTAATTTTTGTAGAAACAAGTAGATTCTGCCTCTCTCTAACCCAGGTATATAGTGTGCAAATGTCCTGGTTTGGTTGGGAAGGTCCTTGAAAAAGAATCTCACCAATCATCACGACAACAATATATTATTTGGATTTTCCTATGGACAGAGGATTTCCCCTGTGTGCCCTCACTCAAACTGAAATCTGGAAAATTAGTGCATTCCAACTAGTGTAGCACAGAGTACTCAACTGGAAGGTTGCATAATCCCCACTTTGCAATTGCATCAGGACCCGTAGCCCGGTACAGGAGACCGAGTTCTCCTTGCATCACCAGGCAGAGAGCAGAGTCCTTTGTCCTTCCAACCAAAACCCAGGGTGACCATACCCTGGGGGCAGTATTCCTGGCAATCCTTCCTGACCTGTCCAAGCAGGCTGAAAAAGACACCTGTTGAGACGTCTGAGATCCATCCATCCATCCATCCATCCATCCATCCATCCATCCATCCATCCATCCATCCATCCAGTGTGTCCTCATTTGTTTTGTAGTAGGAAGTGCAAAACTTGCCTTTTACTGCAGTGGAAAGTGCAAAACTTGCCTTTTACTGCAAGACATCTTCCTAAGCAGTCATCCCAAATCCATAATGTTGCATGAGGCTTTTCTCTCCCTTTCCATCTGCTTTTCTTGAACTTTATATTGTTCCTGTCAGTCTATCTGCACAGCCTGGCCAGATCCCTTTAACAGCAGTGCTGCCCTTCAATTAATGGGTCATTCTCCCCATTTTGGTATTGTCAGCAAATTTGAAACACGCCATTAGCACTCACTGTTAATATTTGCAGGAAGGGAGGAGTTTGGTGAGCAAAGTCCTGATTTTGTTCTGTTTATCAACTCTCTAGAATAATTTGAGGAAGCAATATTAGTCTATATCCTCAACTTAAACTGAAACGGGCCAATTACCACTGAAAACAAAAAAAAGAAGGCAATTTTAGGAGAATGCCTTTGGCAAGGAAGCTTGTATTCTCCACTGTATTAAGTGAATAATTACATTTTTTCTTGGCTGTCTTATGGAATTACAATATTGCAGACCATTTTTTTTTTCCAGAGGACTTTAAAATTATCCTTCCTTTAAAAAATATATACTTATCTCTCTTTCCAGGTTAAATAGCAATAAACTGAATGTTAATTTAATTTTCTCATTTCTATTATTATAATTTGAATTGCTGTGGGATAGTATTTATTATTTTTCTATACTTTGAAAGAAGAGAAAATGTAATGAATGAAATATTGAAAGTGTGTGTTCTTCATTGTAACTATTTTTCCCACTACTTTGAAGAATGTTTGACTGAGACAACTGTACTAAAAACCGGTTATAATAATAGAATTGCTTCAGTTGGAAGGAAACTTAAAGATCAACGAGTTCCAATATGCTGTACAATTTCTTGCTGTGTTTTTCAAAGTCTTCAAATGTATTTTCAAAAGCATTAACTAGAACCTAACCATCTTATGGTTCTATGATTCATTTTCCACAAGTAAATTCTGATAAAGTGTAATGTTTTGTGATGATTTTTTAGTTTAGACATATTTACATTGAAGCCAGATACTTTAAAAAACAAACAAACTTACAAAAGACATCCCCTCTAAGGCTTCGTTCATCAATTTGATTTTCAAAAACTTCCTTCTGCTCTTCATCTGACTCATCAGCCTCCTCTTCTGCAGCAGCTGCAGTTTCTTTCTCTTCCTCACTGTAGCTCCCACCAAGATCAATACCACCTTCATAGTCCAGCAACTGCAAGTGGGTCTTAGAAGGTGGGGTCACAGCTGCTTCTGGGATTGCATTCTTGACTGTTTTATGCTTTTTCACACTGCTTTTTTGTGCAAGAAGTTTCTTAATTGTGTCCTTAGCTCTTCCAGGGCCTCTTGCGATTTCCTTCACTGACTTTTCAGGGATAACTAGAACCAAGAAGAAAATAGAAAATATTAATCTAAGGAATCATTCAGCAATGACAATGTTTTTAAATGGGACTGAGGTGTCCTTTACAAGGTCAGGAGAGCCACAGAATTAAATTCTCTGCTACGAGATGTAAGTTCAGTTCTGCACAGAACCGAACACACACGCACATGTTCAGCTCTGTACTACTGACACTCTGTCTGAGTTACAGTGAAAAGACCAAAGCAACCCTCAGTAATGATCTCTGGACTCCTGTGTAGCACAGGGGTAACACAGTTCATACAGCCCCTTACTTAAATTATTTTTACACTGGAGCTGGGGCAAAAAACCCCAAAAATCCTTCTTCAGGTTTTGGACTAAAATTGTCCATGGAGATGGACAATTTTAGTCCAAAACCTGAACAACAGCAGGGATAATAATAATGAGCATTTATCTTGTCTTTTGTGAACTTCTCTGGTCTAATTTTCTTGCCATGGCAGGCTGGAAGCTACTGAAATGGAGGGTATTTTGAGAAGACATACATCAGCTCCTCCATCGTATTTCTTTTAGCTCTTATTTAATTGTGAGGGGTAAACACCAAAGTTCAGAGAAGAATCCAAAAATCCTAAATTGTTACCATCTTGCAATCCCAAGATGGACTAGAACATAAATGTAACATTTCCTGAGAATTTACCATTTTATGACTCCTCTTGGACACGAAATACTGTGTCTTATAGTTGTGGATAAAGTGGTGTTGTTTTAATTATTCTGGAATTATCCTTTTGGATACTACTATCAAATGTTGCGCACAACCATGTCATAAACTACTGACAGTTTGAGTCTTTTATGTGAACTACCTAGGGAACAATGAAAGCTGAGCAGTTCCAGTGTGCTATAGAAAAGCTCTTTCATAAAGAGAAACTATTTTCATCAGTGGATCAGAATAGCCACATATACTGCTTCCCATCTTTGATTCTCAATCAGTATTGATGCTGCAGTGCCTACAGTCTTTTAGGATTAAAAATGATGGTGGAAGACAGCTATTTTTATTTCCCTCTGCTTCTGCTGTCTAATGATTATACATTATCAGGGCAAGAATATGTTCCTGTTTTGCTCCTCACTTTGTATTTATGAACATTTTATAGTAGTACTTTGAGACAGATGGACTGGACTTGGAACCTTGGGTAGTACAATTTTCTCTGTGCCTCTTTTCATGAAGACACAGCAGAAGAAAAAAACACCAGTAAATAAAATAGAACTGCAGTCTAGTAGGAAAAGAGGAAAGTTCCCTGAATTTATATTCACTTCTGGAAAATACAATCCTATCACTGTGAATTTGTCACATTTTATTTATGGCAAGTACAGCTACATGCTATTTAGTATGTCAGCAACAGAATCAGACTCGGTGTGCTCACTGTAGCATTTAGGTGTTTTTGAGATTGCTGTTGGAGTAAACAGATGCCAATAAAATGAAAGTCAAACTTGAGGATTTGTTCTTCCTTCTTTTGGATAAAACTTATAGGCTTGCTTGTCAAATACTTGCAAATAAGCTCTTTACTAATACTCCACTAAGTATCTTCTGGAGGGTGATGTCATGAAGGATGTAAGGTTCCCTAGGTCAAAACTCAGAATTCAGCAATAAGAATTAACAGGATAGCTTAATTCCAAGCAAATTTCCTCTTGACTATCAGTAACAAGAAACTTCACCCTTTTAACAGAGAGGCTATGGGGATTTTCAAGGCTACAGGACTGACTGTTCAGCAAACCTGAACATCTGCTTTTAGTTTCTGCTTTGAAGTTTTCCTCACGAAACGGAAAATTCTTACAGTTCAACATAATAACCTCTGTGGTGTCAGAAAACCAATCATCTCCTTGTATGTGCAAAATTTAGCAGAGTGGAAAATCAGCTGACAGGAGTCACAAAAATAGAGGGATGAAAAGGTATAAATTCCCATGTGCTTGCAGACTCCAATTTGCTGCTGTGCTATGAAAATCTCCATCCTTGCGGAGACAGAGACTCTAGACACTAAGCATATTTTAGGACACAGAACTAGTCTTCTTCCTACTTGCATTCATCTTTAGAGCAGCCAGAGGTGTAGATTTAAGGCTTTTTATATCTAGCCATAAATTGCAGGAGGACTAATGCAATGTAAGGATACACCACCTTAAACTCTGTCCTTTTGATTCCATGGCCTGTGGACTTGCCTGAATGAGCAAATCACCTTCTATGGTGCTCTGGCTTCTCTGGTGCTACACCCGAGGCAGTGATTTTTCAGGACAGTTTGCCTCAAAATATGTAGATAAATGCAAACATGTTGGTCACAAACATTTGTGCACTTATCTGTCCACGTGACTGCAGAGAATTTTGGGAAAAGTGCAAAGAAATGTATTTTTTTGTATTTTTGAGTATTCCACCTCAGCTCAGCTCTTCGTTACCTACCTTTGATCAGGAAGCATGCAGTTTCTGTTTATTGCCCTAATATGAAAATATCCCAGTTTTCAAAGGGATTTTCTTTCTTTGAATTAGAGAGAATTAAGGCAAGAAGTAGAAAAATAAAGGCAAACAGTGGCCGAGGGCAAAAAGTAAAACTTTTCTGTCATCAGAAAAACTCACAGAAATTATACAAAATTATAAACCTGCAGAAATGGTTTGGTGTAGGATGTCTAATGACCAAGTTGTAGAAGTTGAGTTGAAAAAAATACATAAAGAATAAATGCCAACACTGACTCTGTGCTGCATTGTGTAAAGGGAAGTAGTCAGGGGATGATACAGGAGAGGGACAGACAAGGGTCTGTTTTCCTTCCACACACCCTGTGAGTGCAGCTGGTGCTGGCCCTGACCATCCAGGGGATGCAGTCAGAGACAGCTCGCTCTGCACTCCAGCAGGCACCCCACTGCTTCCACCCTCACACCTCACAGAGCATTTAAAAACCTGGTGAGAGACAAGCCTAGGAGGCTGGCTTACAAATCCTTTCATAGCTCCCTTTATAGCTTCTCTATATCAGAGGTGAAGAAGTCTTGAGGGAGACAGACAACAATCTACCACCTGTAGGTGCAATCTGTAGATGTGAGCAAAGATTAGATCAGCATGACATACTTCCAGAAATCATCCTAAAATTATCAACCTCTTTTAGATGCTCTGAAGAGAGTCTGAGAGCTTTCATAGATAGGTTAAAAGACAGATTCTGGGCTATTATGTTCTTCTAAGCACCATGGAACATCATCTACCAATATGTGACGCTACTCTATTTAATTTCTGAAATTTTTACTGTCTTATTTAGGGAAGGATACTTTGAAAAATCAGGTCAAGTTTGTTACACTGGATTGTGCTTCATACATGACTATACCAGCCAGCAAGGCATCTAGTAGGACATGTGTGGTGACAAAAGCCTGTTACTCACTGAAGAGGGACAGCAGTATTTGACTCCATACTGAATTAAATTTTAAGAATATCACCAGTGATATGACAACAATCGTTTCTGAAGCTTTGAAACTTTATTCTATCAAACGAACATTTCTCAGGATTGGCAAGTTAATAAGAAAGCAAAGTTATATATAGGGTCTAAGGGTTGCCCTATCAGCAAAAAATGAATGACTAATACAAGAGGCAGAGAGAGAGCCAACATGATTTTTTATTGACACTTGATACCCAGCAAAGTAACCTCTGCCTCTAGCTGGGCAATAACAGGAGTGTCATTGTTGAGCTCCTTAGAGTGATACCTCTAGACTTAAATATAGTAATCCTTTTTCCTGTTGTTTTGTAGGACCAAAAAAAGTGAATCAAAAATAGGTTCTTTTCTTTTTTCCCTAGGAATCTTAATTGCTTATGGAACCTTGTGAGACTCTATTCTTAAATAAAAGCTGAAATATAGGTAAAAGCATGTGGCAGGGGAAATGTGGGTTTTCAATGCACAATAGGAAATCAGGAAACACATGAACCTGGGAACAGTAACAGATTGCAGCAAGATAGGGGCCAGATGTGGAAATGACTAGGACCCTTTTAGGGATTGTTCAAATCTGTCCATCTGTATGGATTCTCAAACGTGTGTGCTACAGACAGTTCAGAAATGGTCTCCAATGTTTCATAGATATAGGAGTGTTAAATGGCAAGAGGGTGCCTTAATAATCACAGGTCATATCCCCAACAGCAGTGTTTGCAGCCTGACATTTCAGCAGCTTTCTCCAAGGCAGTGTATTGACATAGAAATTGAATGGAAGAATTTCCACCACCTTCTTTGCAAAGGTGAATTATATATTATGTCAATAATTAGGTTATTTTATAGCACAGATGTAGCCACAGGAATTTCATTATGAGCAATGTGCTTAATTGTTCTCCTTTCATAATCCAAAAATTAAGCTATATATTAAAATAGTTTTCATTTTTTGAAAAAAGCAAATACTGCTTCCATGATAGCCAGGGTTTTTTTATATACTAGAGACAATTGCTATTAAGAACTAATACTTCCCTGTGAAAACAGGATTCCATCTCTGTGGGAATAATTATGTGGAGTACTGGAGACTTATTTAAGAAGGATTTTGTTCAGCTGTGGCACAAGCCCTGCTGGGAACTGGAATGGGCCACAGGAACTGTAGCCATTGTCACCAAAAGAAGTGTGAAACAGCAGCCTTCAGCTCCTAAATGCCCAAGATGGTGTCCTCATCCCATTAAGCCCCATAGCAAATTTTCTTTTTGCTGCATTAAAGGCAAAGCTTTTCCACAGTTGCCGTATGACATGGAGAACATTCAGTGTCACTGTTGGCTGGTACATCCAATTGTTTGTGTTACTGTTTGAAAGAAACATTTTCCCCAGTAGCAAGACGCGTCCTGTCCCTATGAGTTACACTGGTCAGATGTTCTTGAGGATTGCAGTAAAAGTCAACTATTGAAACAGTCAGAGCTAAAAGAAACTCCTCCACTTCCCTTTAAGGAGAAGGTATATGTGGGAGAATTACCACCAGAGAAACCAGTCTCTATTTAGCATCTCTACATTTCAGGGTTCACCTACTGCTGATTGTATTTTAATCTTCCTCTGCTGTTGTTTACAACTTTCTAGCTGGACCCTCAACTTTTGACCTGCCTGTTTTGCTCTCATTACTGTATGTTATTCTTCTATACTCTCATAATCTCTTTTCCATTTAGTGTGTTCTGTTAAGTTCTATGAATGGCATGGATCCTTCCTCTGCTGAACAACAAATGGATTTCTGTAACTGGAAATATGACAGGAGGAAGTAGGCAGAGGGCAAACTATGTAAGAGAAACACCTATGAGACAATAGGAATCATCTGACTTCAGAACTGATTTTTTTAGAGGGCTAGACATCAAAAATTTCTCTCCACAACTGAATATATTTCTGTTACTTATATGTAAGCAATCATTCTTGTTGAATTGTTGTTGCTTGATGAAAGAATATTTTATGCATGGAGTTAGTAAAAAAGAAAATTTCCCTGGAAATTTTTTACCTTCTCATTAAAAAGGCAAATAAATGGAAAAAAAAAAAAAAACAAGCCAAAAAAACCCCCATACTATTTTTCTCAGAGATGTATTTGTTTAACATTTCACCTGTGGTACACTTTGTTTTAACAAAACCATGCCAAGATGTGTCATGTCAGTTTGCTTTGATGTCCAGTCAAAAGCATCCTTCCATTTCAGTGAGCTGCAGTCACATATCACAAGAGGTGTGGTCCAGCAAGGAACCTGGCTCCTAACATTGAATTTGAGTAGAAGAATGCTCTAAACAGCTCTGCTGTGGTAATCTGTGTCCATATCAAACAGTTCAGTAACAGCTAGATTTTTCTGTGTTTATTTTTGCTTGTTAAAAGTCAACATTTTTTTACTGAAAGTTTAAACTTAACAAAATGGTCCTCTCCTGTGAGAGCCAGGAGTTGGACTAGTGGGTCCTGTGCAATTCAAAATATTCGTGAAAATATTAATTTATCAATGTGTATTGTAAGTTTCAATTGCTACCATAATGGGAGTAGGAACATGAACAATACAGGGACTCAGAGGACATCTGTGACCATGAAGTATAATCATAAGACATATTTGATCAAGCATTACTTGAAAAGATTTATATATTATGTAGACTTCATCTGCTACAGACAAAAACTTTTAAAATGTTTGAGCAGAGGTCAAGTGTCCTCTTGAGGAAAACATCTTTAATGATGTTGCAGGAGAAACATTTGCCAGGATTAATAAAGGTATAAATTAAAAGGTTCATTTTAAATATAAAGAAAAGGACAGCCTTTCTTTCTTTCTTTCTTTCTTTCTTTCTTTCTTTCTTTCTTTCTTTCTTTCTTTCTTTCTTTCTTTCTTTCTTCTTGAAGGGTCATATTCAGTTAAAATGGGAAATGACATCTTTATAGGACATCTTCCATATTCAATAGACAAACAAAGTGAAAAGAATTTAACAGAGAAGTCACAGCTTTTCTCCCTTTTCTCATTTTTTGCTAAGTTAGCCTTCTGGGAGGGACAGCACATCCCTCCAAGGAGCTAACCTTGGGAATTCATTGAGAAATCACAGTAGGTTTTTTTAAACTATTTTCTCTGTTTCTTCAAGACAAATTAATTTCTCTGTTCTACTTGCAATTCCTAGAGATGAGACTTGAAGACTTACAGGCAAAATTAATTTGAACAAGGGATACTTGTATTGCCTATGCTGTGAGTCATGCAGTTAATATATTATTTTGTGGAGAGGTCTTGCTTGGTTGGTACTGCAGCACTGTTCAGCATGACTTTTCTGAGAACATGCCTTGTAACGATCAATTATTGGAGAGAAAAAATACAGCATTATTCCTGTCATCCAGTGGTACTCACCAGCACAATCAAATCCACTGCCTCGGTAGCCCTGCTTACATTTGCACTGGAAGGATCCTGGGGTGTTGAGGCACTCTGCATGGAGGTTGCACCTGTGTGTGTTTGTCACACATTCATTTACATCTGGGGGGAGATAGAAACGCTTCAGTGAAAACTGTGCTGCAACCCAAGGCTCCTGACAGCCTGTTTGTGCCCCCATCTCATCCAGGTACTGTAAGCTCTAATGTTAGACCAAGCCAGAGCATTGGCCATAGAGAGGCAGAGGATTCACACTAGGACAGAATGCTTGGTGTCCCTCCAAACACACAGATGCTGGCATATGCATCCATGGAAAATGTCCATCCCAGTAAAGACAAGGTGAATGCAGTGTTTTTCTGACTGAGGACAGGATTCAAACTACAGGTTACACACACTCTTCTATTAACAAAATGCACCAAGTACCAAGAGAATGGGTGACAGGAGTTAAAAAAGAGCTCACCAAAACATTCTCATTTTTTCATTCACTGTAGAAAGAATGCAATGGAAAGTAACCCTGAGTGTGCCAAGATGTTAAGATCTTTAAGCTACCTCTCACATTCCAGCATATATATATGATGCTGCATGAAAACAAGTTATAAGGAAAATTAAGTAGAAAATAATACATTCAGCTCACAGCAAAATGTACAGGCACCAAGAATATTTGATTTTGTTCTGTTACAAAGATGTTTCTGATTTATCCCACATGAGGGAGTCATGTTGGTGCACAAATGTTTGTACCATTCACATTTTATCCAGATTGCATCATTTTTAGCAGCTGATAGGTCCTCTCATAATGTAAGTCAGCAAACAAACAAGTAGCAGGAAGACTGACTCAAAAGTCTGGTGTGTCTGAAAGTGAGATTTAGGTTTGCAAATAAAATCCTCGCCAGTGAGACCATTTTGATTTTTCTCCCATGCATACATATGAAAAAGGAAAATATTTTTCCCACTTGAAGTCTCTCAGGATTTGCAGACATGAAATGCAAACTTAAGTCTCCAAACCTACCTTATGATCTTCCTCCCACTCCTCACTTCCAACTAAATATAAACAAATATATATCAACTAAATATAAACAAATCCCATTAGTTCTCTTTCTTATGCACCAAGTGTAGTAGTTCCAACACTTCCAGGCCCTTGTGTAGTCAACAGCTTGAAGAATACTCCTGCAGCACCTGCTGCAGTAACTTATATTTTGCTGTTCTTCCAGCATTCAGCTAATGGATTGAAACAGGAGTTAAGCATGCTTTGACATTTGTTTTAACACCTGAGCATGTCAAGATAACTTTTTGCCTGTATTTATTTTTGTTAGGGAGAAACTTGTTTGTGAAACAGAAACCTGAAAAGTAATTGAAACCTACTATTTCCATTCTTTTTTTTTTCCCTCAAGTTCTGTTCAAACCATACAAATAACTGTTTTTACAGTCATTGAGACACTTACTTCACATTCCTCAATAACCAAAAAAAAACAAAACAAAAAAAAAAAAAACAGAGAAAAATTCAAAGTCCCATCAAGAACATTCTTAGTGTGACACCTTTTACCCATTTTTGAGGCAGCATCCCCAGGACAGGACACTGTGCTGGGGGCAACCACAGGGAAGATGTGCTCTGTGGGAATAAGAAGAATGAAGAAGGAACATCCATGGGCTAGCCCTTACCTGCACAGTTGTAGCGGCCGCTGGTGTATTTCAGTTCATATCCCAGCTGGCACTTGCAGTAGAAGCTTCCAAACGTGTTGACACATCTGCGGTTGTACGAGCAGACAGCTTTGCCAGTGGAGCATTCATCAATGTCTGCAGCAGGAGAAGGGATGCTGGTCAGATCCATGGGAAGGTAAAATAGGAAAAAACTCACTGGGATTTGCATTAGACTGATTTGTTCTTGACTGTCACAAATAAACTTAATAAATAAATCTTATAATTTCACATTTGGTGATGGCTTTCACAAGCGTTCTTATGAGTGAAGCAGTGAAATGTGAACTAACTTTATGGAAGAACACAGTACCAAGTATTATAAGCAATGCTTTCTTCATCACTGGAAACTCACAGGTAATGTTGAGGCTTCTGGAGAAAAATTGAGAAGTTTGTATCGTGGGTCATCACAATAAAAGAAAGCCCTATCCAAACAAAATGCCCAAATCCTATAACACATTATGTCAGCAGGGCAGCTTCCTGCAGGCAAAGCACAGTAATTAATGGCCTCATACCAACAGGGAGAAACCAAATCTGTGGATGACTCTAAATCATGTCAAAACATTGTATTATTTACTGGGGATGAGCGTTATCCAAAGAATCACATGGCCAATAGTTCAAGAAGAATTATTTTTTAAAAAAATATTAAAACTTTACATCACACTGAGAGTAACAAAAAGCATTATTTAAGCCAGCAAGGAAGGTTAACTACTTCCTAATCTTTCCCCAGAATCTTATGGCTTTTTATAGGGTTCCTGCAGAAAAGAAGCTGAGAGTGAGCTCTCTAAACATACCAATGCATGTCCTTCCATTTGGTCCCAGCTGAAGGCCACCTGATGGACAGAGACACTGCACCTGCCCTTTGACTTCTTCACATCCATACTGGCAATTCACCATGGCACATGTCCCAGAACCTGAAATCAGTATTTAAAATAACAAGAAGAGCAAAATTCTAGGCAGGAATCACACAATTTAAAGTTACATATGGAGAAACACACAAATTAATCAGAACAGCAAAAATCCATTCATTATAAAGAAAACTGTTTATAAATTAACATACAAAAATTCAGGAGTCCATGAGATATTTTCTACAAACAAAACCCTCTCACCAAAAAATTAGAAGCTTCCCCAGGTCTGAAAAATCTGGTTAGCTAAAAAATCAGAATGCTTTCCATTTCATGCTGGCTTAAAGACAAAGAATGTAGGTAGAAATACCTATTTTCATAAGTTTAGATAAGCCTTAGATCATACAGCAAATGTTTGCAAGAACAGTTTTCAGCAACTGTCAAAAGCATATTAACACAGGTAAAATATATCAGTTGTGGAGCACAGAAAGGTAAAGCAAGGAAGAATGGCATGAAATTCAGCAGAGTAAAAAGTAATCTGTATTGGTGCTTTGCTTGAATACATTCATTCTTATTCAACAGATGAACTGGCAGGACTATACACTGAGGTCATTCTAGCTGTTCTTCATCTGAAGCAACACTATCAAAGACTTTTAATTCTGTCAGGACCAAAACACCTCTGAAGACCAAAATATAAGTATGACCTAGTTTGCTTTATCCAGGAAATACCAAATAGGAAGCCTCTTTCAGCTGTGGTAGTACCAGAGAGCAGGGGCAAAGACCCTATTCTGAATAAGTGAATCAGTTCATCACAAGAAGAAAATCTGCTGGGATTAGATGTGGTTAGATGATCTTGGTGTGCCTGTTCCACCAGCTCTATTACTTACTTGCACATGTGCCATCTGGCATGAGCATGTACCCGTTGAGACAATAGCACTTGTAGCTGCCATGTGTGTTCATACATCTGTGCTCACAGGGACGTGGCTTCAGTCCACATTCGTTCAGATCTGCAGAAGTCATTGGAACTGAGTGAGTGCTGGGCTTTTTTACATATATTCATGCATAGAGGTGGATAATATTGCCTAATGTGTGGAGTTCCCCAGAGTGAAATTGTCTGGATGGAAAATAAGCCAGCCCCTTGCAAGATGAGAATTTAGCAGACCATCTGGCTGAAAGACTGCTAGTAAAACCAACATACACAGACCTCTACACTTGAAAAGTTAATGCAAACTCTGGCCACATTTGGCAGCTTGTTAGGAAGAAGTGGAGGGGTGGAGAGAATCGCAGCTAATCTTTTTTTGGGAGTTTTTAATGGATTTTTTCTGGTTCTAACCCTCCAGTTGACCTCTGTATTAAAAAGGCAAAAACATGAGACTAAGAACAGCAAAACAGTTTGAGATAAAGTGAAACAAAGATTTTTACTTTAATTTTTCTGAGCCTCACACTGGCACCAAGGTTATCAGTAGCAGAAATGAAATAAAATTTATGATAATAATAATGTGACTTCAAAAGGATCTCAAAAGTCTCAAAATCCTGAGAATAAAACATCCTAAATCCTTCTCAAAATCCAGGATTTAAAGGCTTTTCAGAAACTACATAAATTTCAAATTCCCAACATCTATCCTTCACGAGGAGAAAATGAGAATTCTAAAACGTTTATTTGTGTGGTATAGGGTGAGCAGTTCTGACAATGATATTTGGCCTATGACAAGGGGACAATATCTGTGTTTTTTAATTCCATGACCTACCACCTCTACCTCTTGCAGTGATTAGTAGGTGGAACTCATTAATAGAATGCACCAGCATATGCAGCCCGTTCAATATGTGTTTAACAGGATATATGACTGATAACATAATTTCAGTAAAGATGCAGCTCTCCGGGCAAGCACTGAGCTTGTGCAACTCCATTTCCAATGGGAGAAGCATCTGTTCTTGTGCCACACCCTGCAGACCACAGGAACAAAACCTCCAGGCCATTCAAAGCACAAACTTTGTGGAGGTGCACAAGTGCTTTTTACAGCTCAGTCCAGGGAAGAGAGAGGGTTGCATTCTATTATTCTCACAGGATCTGTTTGAAAAAGGACAACCTGTCTGTTTGCAAATCACGCTGGATTGTTGTGCTGCTGTGACTCCACTAAATAACTAAGACTCTCTTAACAAAGAAACTACAGAGCAAACTAGAGAACAAAAGTTATTCCACTTAGACCATACATTTTCAAAAGTGCTTATCTGTACCTATCTCTCACAATGCACAGATAGCATACACAGCTCTAAAAAAGAACCTATGGAGATAAGGCTGATTTAGCTCAGACTTGGTGGCAGACTAATACAGTCCCCTTATCTCTGTTATTTTAGTTAGCTCGTGTTGAGCTTGCTCAGCAGGACATTCTGCTGCAAGGACAGACCAAGGCTACATCTGCCATTAAATTAGAAGTGGGTATTAGCACTTCTGGGTGATGGAACATGACCACCTATACAGCCATACTGTTGAAACAATATCTTGGACACTCCTGGCCAGTATTGGCCACCACCCCGCTGAAAAAATCCTGCTCCTGCTTCAGAAGGTAGAAAAGCCCAGGAGCTAACAGGGAGTCTGTGCAGTGCTTCCTCCGAGCCTCATCTCAGAACCTGCTGAAGTGCACAGGTGATCAGGCTGCCTATGGAGAGCATGTCAAATGCACATGGAATTACTGCACAGAAAGCACCTAAAAGCTGAGGGCTTCTCTGTTGCCTTTTAGCAACATTTCAGCTGCCAAATAATTTTTGAGGTTAAACTTCTGTATTTAGAGGCTGAAGTTGTAAGTGGTACTTATATATCTGTTACATATAACTACAGCTGCTCTTTCTCTTTCCTCTCTAGTGTACTGAGGAGTTAATTTCTTTCCCTGTGAGAAACAACAAAAGATGGATTTTACCAAAATACTTAATAGCACATCTTTAAAGCATATTGTTTGAAAGATACTGTGTAATAAATGGGCTGTTTTGACTATAAAAAATGTGTGTTTAGCGTGTCAATGCAATATTTTCAGGCAAAGTCTGCAGGAACTTAGGAAGGTAGCAGGAACAGTCCTAGTCATTTGTGTCATGTTTCCATCATAGCACCTACAGTTCGCTCATTTGCCTCTCCATGCACAGTGTCCTGCTCCTTTCATCTGATCCAAGAGAGAGGTCTCGTATTTTGGAACAGGAAAAAAAAAGCTGAGTTCTTACCAATGTGTTAACTGAAATATTTTCATATCAAATTCCAAATTTATGGGGGAAAATGGTACATTTAAAGTTTCTGAAAATGCAATTCTAAGGATTCCCAATGATGGTTCTCAGAAATACCACCAGCATATATAAACACCCCAGGCAGATTGCTAAATTATACATCTACGATATAATTGCAAGTCTTTCTGACTAGAAGATTAATTTAAAAAGAAACATGGGCTGCTAGTTAAGAAAATAACATGGGTTCTGCAATTGGCTTCCATCTCTTCTGATACCTTCCTATATAATCTCTCCATGCCTTAATCCTCTGACTATAAATATGAGTTTGCCCTTGTCATCAGCCCGTAGGAGATAAACAATATAGTTTCAAACTTTTGTCTGCTGAAGAAGGCTTAGAGCTTGCCTGGGATGCTGGAGATGCAAAAGTCTTAAATTCTTAAGTTCTTCTACATAAACAAGAAAACATCCTGGTTTACTGCTTTGGAAGATGACAAAAACCATAGCACAAGATAAGGAAACAGAAAACCAACAGTCTCCTTTCTGGAGCATATGCACAAACCTTGATTACAGGATTTCCCTGTAAATCCAGGGAAACATTTGCATTTGTTTGGTCCCATGCACTCGCCATGCTTGCAACCATGTCCACAGGTAGCTGGTGGAGTCAGGCAGAGAAAGGAGAGAGAAAAAAAGTTAGAAATATTCTATTTGAGAACTTTTGCTCTGCTTAGTTGCCTAAAAGGTTTTGCATAAGTTCAGCATCCTCCACACTACTTCCTCTAGTCTAAGCACAGTAACTACTGATTAACACTTTATTTGGGCTTGAAAATAGGGGCACTAACATTAATTACAAGAATTTGGTTTTTTCCAGGTTTGTAAAGACAAAAGGCCTTTACATCCTTTTTTTTTTTTTTTTTTTTTTTTTTTTTTCTGCAATGGTTACAAGCCACATTTAGTTTTGTACTCTTGCCTTTTTCCTTTTTTTAGGAAGCCTATGTGAGAAGCAGCTGGCCAGCAGCTTGAATTGCTATGCTTGGCATCTGGAGCAGGAAAGAGGCAACAGCACTCTCCTAGAGCAAAAGGAGACACATAATCCTATAGCAGTTTACAGTCTTGGATCTCCTCAATTACAGCTGAGGAACGTGTCTATCCCATGGTGGAACATCCAGAGCACATCTGTCATCAGGCAACTGTCCTTAGCACATATCCCGGCGAGTATATTTGCATCATGTTTACAATAATTTGAGAGGGCAACATTTAACCTGGATGCATTAAAAAGCAACTCTAAGTCCTCTGGATCAGCAATCAGAAATTAAATGCAGACTTTTATAAGCCTTAAGGCTCCTGAAATCACTTTAATTGTCAGCATGGGGGTTATTCAGGAAGAGCAAACATGCATTTATAGCAGGACTATCTCTGAGGAAACGGAAAGAGTGTGCACCAGGATGTGAATTTCGATTCCTTATGTAGTTAAGCTGATCTGCAAACTATAGGAAAGTTTAGTTACTATATGGTAAAATTAATATTAAAATTATTTTTTCTGAATTCAAGTATCTTCCCTACATTAACAGATACATTCAGATGTACTGAAGGTACTAACTCTGCAGATTGAGGCATTTTTCTACACTTCTTCCAGCCCTGAATAAAATGTGGCACACTGCAAGACCAGCTTGTTCCCCTGGGATCCAAAGCATCCCTGCTTGGGATGTTCTCCCATGGCATGGACACATATCTCTTCTGTAATTGAGACTGCAAAAAACCAGCTTACAGTGTTAGCGATGAAGCAGTGAAAACCAGCACATCTGGATTTACAATGCAGAATTACATTATAGGTGGCTTAAAGTGACTTGCCAAAGAAGAATCTTCAAATTTTATGAAAACCTATTGCTTTAAAACAAGACAACCTACTCCACTGCTGATCAAATGCTACATTTGCCAGTTATCTCTCCAGGTATTAATTTGCATGAAAACTAAAGTGCAATTAAGCAATGCAAGAAATACTACAATAATCCCTTTTTCTTTTTTTAAAAATGGCATATCATATATAGAGAGCAGAGACATTTTAACATCTTTCCCTTTTAGCATATGGATTTTCAGCAATCAGTAATCTCAAGCCTCTATACACATTCACTAGACATAAAAGGCAAAACTCTCTGGGACAACAAGTGCAACATCTGAAAAAGATCTAAAACATATATTTTATGATTTTGTTGTGTTTTTCCCACATACAACTGGAGAGAGAGATTCAAAACTGCATTCTCCTTGGGATATGTAGACCTTTCACAAATTAGAAGTGTCTTAAGAGTCATTGTGTCTTCATTAAGCAAATGATCCACACACCCAAACACTGGCTGGCTACCCAAGCTCAAGTCAGGGCACTTATTGCTTGAGTTTTATTTATGTTTTTAGAAAGTTAAAATCCTCTGGTTCTCAGAAGCTGTGTAATCTGAAAATAAAGGACACCAACAGAAATTAAATAATTTTAGAGGTCCTTCTATAGCATTAGAAAACTGCATTTATGGCACGTACTCAACAGCTGTAACAGTGTAGCCACTGACCAGGGCTGTGCAGGAGGTTAGAACAGATGGTGCCTTCTGGATCTAAGAATTTCTGAACGTGCAAGTTATGGTTTGGTGTTATTTACCCAAAGCTCTGGGTAAATACCATTTTTTTGAGGAGATGGTCTCTCAAGCATGTTTTATTTGCTCTCTCACAGACTTGGAGATTTCACGCCTCAGGAGTTTTCCTTCTGTAACTTCTGGGTTTCTGTAAGAAACCTCCTTATTACTACCAAGTACGCAGCAGCAGAGAGGAACCAAGCAGAAAGTTAATGTTACCTTCGCAGTGGCCCTTGTTCTTTCTCCAGCCAGGACAGCAATCCAACCTGGAGCCGTAGCGGCACACCCCAGGCTGGCTCACAGCCCCCAGCTGCCCACGAGTTCTCGAGCTGTGTAAGGAAGGACAAACACTAACTCCAGCAGGAAAATGCTCTAATCCATTCCTCTGCATACCCCTCTGTACAATTCTCTTATGTTTTATCCACTGTCAAGCATTTTCATTTCACCAAACCTAGAGCAGTGTTCCTAGACAGGAATACAAACTTCCATTTGACCAGAGAAACTGGAATGATGGGAATGTTTCACCTGCAATAAATTAACTGTGCAAGGTCAACCCTTTCTAATGAGAAACATGGCAAAGGCAAAAAATACAGCCAGCTCCTTGCAAGAATGAGTCATCTTAATATCAGTGAAGTCAATAGGGCTGCCTCAGTTTGTGTCACATGAACACAAATATATGATCCATGATCACATGGATCAAATATATGATGCCATAACTGAGAGTACTGTTGCCTCAGATGATGAAACACTGATTCTACAGAAAAGCTTGTTGAGAGTATCAATCAGCCCCATAAAAGCTAGCGACTTGCAGGCTCATAGCCACTGCATACATGCAAAGTGATTGCATAAGTGCAGACAGACCCAAGCATTCTGGTTGCATGAGAGTCCCTGACCATACAAATTAATGTTAATTTCACCTGCCAATAAGCCCAGGGGGTTCAAAGTCATTGTGCAGATCAACAGCTGCAAGAGTTGGAAAACCTGCAATATTAGTTGCCAAAATTATAAATCTGATAGAAATTCACAACTGTGTAAATCTTCCAGACCTCCTCTGTGCTGTGGCTTTAGTTCTCCTTCTCCCTTTGCTTGCTGTTACTTAAGTTGTCCACCACATGTCTCTCCCCTTTATGAAATTCTTTTCTTTATCCAAAATCCTCTGTCTCCATTGCTTTATCCAAGTCATAATTTAAAATGCATTTTCTTCAGAGAGTCCAAAATGCTGGTTTTGACCCCGAAAATTCCTGTTTGGTGAGAGCATTGTAGTAAGTGATTTGGGGTCCTGAGGGGGGACAATACACTGCAACAGAAATCTCATGGTGGGGAAAAAATGGTGGAAAAAAGCCATCAGGCATGAAGTTTTGCATTTTTTAGTCTAAGACACAAAAAAGGTAATATTTTATCACATTGCAGGAGTGCTTTGCATGTATTCTCCTGCACTTATCTGTAACGGTTGCACTCACATCAAAACAGTTCCTGCAAACATCACTGAGGCAAACTAGTAGAACAAATATATGCATACGCTTCAAAGACACAAGGTGTTACTCCAGAGTTTTCTTTAGTAGCTGAACCATTGGAACTAGGAGGGAGTTCAAAGGAAATGCATAAACTCATGCATCTGAGATACTCTACACAAAGAGATCGTCTTCATGTCACCTGGCAAGTAAAAAAGCTTCAGTGCTGGAATAAATTGTCCTGAAGGCACCCAACCTTTGCCACCAATGCAGTGATGCAGTTTACAGGAGTACATGTTCCGGTACATTAACATCTTCAGAGAGGTGAAAAAGTGTGTTGAACAGCTCTAACTCCTCTGTGTCTGTGACAAATCAGCACCCTGCCTCTGCATCCTATAGACAATAAAAGAACCTTTTTCCATTTTGTTATCCACATGCTGCTGCCTAACATCACTTGCAAGTATACAAGTTAAAGAATATATGTTCTGCTTGCAGACTAGAAAGTGGCCTTGAATTCACCTGGATAGTAAATGTACATTATGCTTGCATCTAAGAAAATCCCTTTGAATGCATCTGGATAGTGCTATGACTCCCCTGGGAGGTTAAAATGCCTAAAGCCTGGAGGAAGCAGGATCTCATTCCTTTCCAAAAGGTGCTCATTTTCACAGGAAAAACTGATTCAGTAATGTTTTATTTATTAATTTATTTCAAAAATTTAAAAAATAATGTCATTATAAAGTATACAGTATCTCTCAAGGTTTCAGAACAAACTTTCTTTAAAACTGGGAAATGTTCCATAAAGCTGCAAATTAAATTAACATAGCTGAACTCTATAGATATTGCCCTGGACAAGGTTGAAAGATTTGTTCTGACTTCCACAACAAGCATCAAGATAAAACTTACCTTTGGCAAAGATCAACTAGATCCCAAAATCTGTGAGGAAAACCAGTTTTGCCAGGTTAGTCCCTCTCACCCATGAAGAATCAACACCCACCAACTTAGCTATTTCTATCAGGAGTTAAGCACTAAAAGAAAAAATTAGAAAGAGGAGATTCTTTCAGGTAGGCAACCTTTTCTGGGAGAATGTCACATGGACCTGCCTGGATATTGGGGAAGCAGTAATGTGGACTGGAGGCATAGGGCACTTCTGATCCCTCCTTGTCTCATACTCCTGTAGGATTTCAGAGGAACTACCTAAAGTACCTGAATGAGATGGCTGGACTTATCACAGTCTGCCAGTGTACAAAAAATTCCTGGCCTTGAAGAATCTGCAGCCAAAAAATGTGACCAAAAAAGAAAGGCAAGAGAATGCACACTGTGCAGGTCAGATCACAGCGCAGTGGAAGAGTGCTGTCTGAAGAACTCTGTCCTCTGAGAGGCAGCACCAGTGCTAAAGGTAACAAGGGCTACTTAGCAGTCCAGGGTGCCCAGAGAGGAGGGAAGTAATTGACTTTTTGTGGCTATGGTATTGCTGACAGCACTATGAGACATTTAGCAAAGAACAGTGAGGATGAATAGTAACCACAACAGCTGCCTGAGTTGAGGAGACTGAAATAAAGAGCTGGCTGCATTAGCTGTCACAAGATTGCTGTGAGCCATTAGCACCATTTTAAACTAAGAGGGACTGAGTTGCACTGCTGCTGTAACCTGTATTGCTGCTATGGTTTAGGAATGGGATTCCCCAAATCAGTCCTCCCACCAACTCTCTCCACAACCACATGCCACCCTCTCTTACTCCCCCAATTTCCCTGCACCCTTCCCCTTGCAGCAGGATGGAGATGAGTATTGGAGGCACAATAGGCAAAGATCGAAGCCCCGGGCCCGCCGGGAGCAGCGGCACCAGCCCCGGGCCCTTCGGGAGCGGGGCTGCGGTGCCCGGGCCGGCCCCGCCCGCCCCGCCCGGTTCCCCGCTCACCTGCCCGCGGCCAGCCCGGCGGCGAGCAGCGCGGCGAGCAGGGCGCTCCCGGGCGCCGGCACCATCGCCCGGGCACGGGCGGCAGGCGGCCCGGCCGCGACCCCGGCGCTGTCTGGCTGTCTGTCTGGCTGTCTGTCGGGCTGTCCCTCGGGCTGTCCCTCTGGCCGTCCCGCGGCGGCAGCGCCGGAGCGCGGGCGGGCACCGGGACGGGGCCGTATAACCGGGCGGGGCGGGGCGGACCCGCCTGCAGCCGCGGCGGGCGGAGACCGCGGCGGAGAGGGGCGGGGGTCCCGGCCGGAGCGGGGCAGGCTGGCCGGGAGCGGCCACGGAGCCGCGGTGGTGCTCTCCTGGGAAAGCCGTGTCGCTCCGGCGGGCGGTACGAGCCCCGGTACAAACCCCGGTACAAACCCCGGTACGAACCCCGGTACGAACCCCGGCCCGGCCTGAGAGCGGCCGCTGGTGATTCACCAGTGGCACACCCGGCACCCGCCGGCCCCCGAGGCAGCTCTGCCGTGTGTTTCCATCACCGGGAAATGCATTTGCACCGAAAGGTTTCCAGGCTTTGCCTTGCAGGACCATCCCTGAACTTTTTCCAAGCTGCTAAGTACTTGGATATTAGGAAAAATCTTATTTAGAAAAAACTTCTGCCAAGTTGTTGACGTCTACTGCTGATTTCTTCAGACTTCTGAAAGTACAAGTGTTCCTGCAAAGTACAAAGTACATCACCTTGTAGAGAGAAGCAGTATGAAGTCAGTTACCAAAAGATGGCAAAATTAGCCCCAGGATTCAAATGACATGTGATTAAACTTCAATCTATTTAAAAGAAACAAACTTGTGTGATACTGTTTATGTGTTGCACAGGATAGTAAAGACTTTTTTTGTCCTGGATGCTGGACACAAAAGCCATTGTTGGTTTGCAGCTGTGCTGCTGTCTTTCTGAAATGCAGCAGTACCTTGACACTCCCCAGCTCCCTTCATTAGACTTGTCTTCCTGTATGGAAGGAGTAGTCTTTTGATTTTAGTTAAATCAGCACCATGTAGAAAGCATACTAATTACGTAAAACAATTCAAAGACTCATGGTGTGTATTATGCCTATTTATTCCAACAAATAGATATGAATGTATCATTTGAGTCTACTAAAATGTTTATTGGTGTTCAACACAAGCTTTTTTGGTCAGAAGACAAATAATTTCTGAACTGCAATGCATGTAGTCTGTTATGAGATATAATTATTTCCTAAAAAAACCCCCAAAAACTATATCTATATCGATATCCATATCTATATCATATCTTTTTTTTTTTTTTTTTCCTTACAGAGTGAGTGTGGATAGGTCTGTCTGTCCTGGTGGTCCCTAAGTAGTATTTCACATTGCCTGGTGGAATGGAACTGGCCCTGGGTCTCCCCCATTCTCTGTGATTTATTAGGGAAATGCTCATTGAGGTTGTAGTCATGGCTGTCTCTCAAGTGAAAGCTAATGAGCAGTTTCTGGACTATCCTCCCAACCTTGCTCTGAGCTCTCACAGGAGCTCTTTCATACCAAGGTGATGTAAGAGGGTCCTGTGGCTTCTAGTGTCATATATAACATGTCTTACAGGAATGTCCCTCAGCTTTTAGGAAAACCTTTTTGTACTTCATACAATCCTGATCCCAAAGCACACCTCATGGCTGCTCTTGTTCATATATTTTCTTGATATCTAGAATGCAAAATGAGAAGTTAGTGGGATGGCAATTATAAGTCCTATTTCTAAACTGAACACCGTTCTTGTTATTGTTTCAGGAAATGCTGTCCCTAGTTTTTGGTCTTAGCTATGTGTTGTACTCAGTTTTTCATCTCTGGACCAAAGTGAGGCCCCATGATAAGAGACTGCTTTGCCCACTGCAGATGCCATTTCCCATTTTGGATGAATAAAAGCTCTGAATTGTGGGGGGGAGTCCTGCTCATCCCTCCTCATTTCCTTCTTTGTCTGACATGCTGGGTTGTACCAACCAAGAGTAATTGGCCCTCTCTATTTATCACTTGTCAGGGCATACCTGGAATACTGTGCTCAGATTTTTCCTACTTGTCTCACTTGGTACCTTCTCTCTGAAAGTTACTGTGGAACAGCTCCATAGACTCATGGACCCTGGAACCTCCATGCAGAGGAGGAGATTCAGTCTCCAGAGCTTGCTGAAGTGCATGAAGTACAGGCCCTGACACAACTCTGGCTGTACCATTATTTAATATGCTTTTTTGCTCTGAGGCAGTAGCTCCAATACTCAAAGTGATGGAAGGGTGGAATGGAAGATGGTCTACCAGGCTATGGAAGAGAACTAGATTTGCCCTTCTTTTCCACACTTTGAGTGTCCCTCCCACGGAAAGGAAGGGGTTACATTTTCAAATTAAGCCTTGAACTCCGAAAAGTTCTGCGAGTCCCCTGTGAAGAACCCAACACCAAGTATCTAATACATAATGCCTCTTATATGGGCCCTTTTTTCCCACCTGGCCTATCTTAATTAATACCTTAATACACAATCCACGCATCAGGGATTGCCATTTCCAGCAGCTTTATGAATGAATGTAATAGGAGACCACTGTGTGATTTTCAGGGATGAATTTTAGGTATAGCTTCCTGGCTTTTGATGTGATTTTCTTTAGTTTCAGGTCTCCTGCCAAAAAGATTTAGACATTTTTTTCCCCTCATATAATTTCTCTACATATTAACACACAAATCTTTCATTGCTTGACTACATTAACCTATAACAAAAATAATTCAGTCACTGGCGATCCTCTGATACATAATACTTTCCATATGGTAGCCCAATAACATGGTGCCTCTTAGTAGTTTCTGGGGTTTTTTTCTGACAGAAAAAGCCACAGTGATTTTATAGTTTGTTCAGCCATACTATGTTAAAGAAATGTGAAGTTCATGTAATCTATACCTTTATTTTAATATTAACATTATGTAATATTAATAAATATTAAATGTTAATTGACTATCCTGTAATTCAGCACTTTGGAGCTTTAACTTTGATGGTTTGTCCTTTTTATTTGAATTATCAAAATGTAACAATTGGCAGGTGGCAAAATAATAAAAAAAAATCGGGATTAAACCAGGTAGGGTCTGGACCTATCATGCACTTATTATGGGTCCATAGTTGCTACTTTTCAGCTTTTGCTAATTTGCTGCTGCCTTTAGAGATTACTGTATGGAAAATGGCAGTAGATTTCTGTTTTACTTGGATCCCAGGTTCTATCCTTGTTTGTTCCCCTCAAACGTCTCAGTGCTGGCGTGCTCAGTAACGAAGCAGAAACCTCAGCCTAGTGGGGAAGCACACACTTGGTGTCACTTCATGGAGTCAATAGGAGGATCTTCATGGTTTCACATCACAAAGGTATTCAGTCCTGAATTCTCAGATTACACTTCTGCAGTCATGAGTTCAGGTTCTCTCTGTGTCGATATTTGGAGTAGGTGTTGATGTAAGACTCTAACTTTTCTTATGCTGTAAATATGAATTATTCAATCTCTATTTAGGAATCACAAATGACTGATGAAATAGAAATACTTCAGCTAAAACATTTACATTAAGCATAGATAGAGTAAAAAATAACTCAGAGCACTGAGGACTGAAATATTGCTATAATAGCAATCATGGCTGTATCCCTTTTTTTTAGTGAAGTTCCATTTATAGTGCCAAGTAGTTTCAGATCAAGTTATTTTACACGTTTTTCAGGCAGTAGAATAAATAGAGAAATAAAAGCAAACTATTCGGGTTTGGATTTTTTTTTTCTTTTTCTTCTCATGGATCATTTTATCAGCTTTAACAGACTATTTTGAAACAGTAAGAAGTCATGAATGGGATTTCTGAACTGGAATTCCTGAACAGAATCATGATTATAAAATCAATTGAGCTTATTTTTTGTTTTGGTTTGCTGAGTATTGCTTCAGGGTATCTTAAGAAAAAAAATCATGCTCAAAGTGGAAATTCTTGCAATTATTTAACTATGATCTGAGGGTTTAGGAAAATGATCGAATATCCAGAGATTTATCAGACCTTGTAATATTGCTTCACTGAGACTATGCATGTGATGAAAAGTTGGCAGACTAGATTGTTAAAGGCAGAGCACCAGGATTAACAAACCTTTGCCACTAGGAAAATTTAGTTGTAACCTCAACCTACTTTTTAGCTGACGCTATAAAATACTCTCAGAAGTGGTCTGTTTACATTCCTTTGATATTTGATAACATTTTCCAGATTTCTACCATGGTTAAACCCAGCCCTGTGGTTCATGGGGCAATGCTTGCTGCCCTTTGTGTAGCAGATAGTAGGAATCCATTGACAGGATCAGCCTGGATCCCAGATATCCCTAAGAAGGGCTCAGTATATATCTAACCAAGTTATGGTTTCTATGAGGGAATCCTTATTTCTGCTCAAAAGTAATTGCAAGCATAAAAGCTCAGTGTTTAGAAAATGCTTTGTATTGTACTAGGTTTAAATAATTAAAAATCACACACTCAAGATGGTGGGTGGCCTAACACAGCGTGAACAACAGCCTGCAAAAATTATACCATCGGGCTGGAGAACACTTTTCTAAACATATAAATAAGAGGTTTCACATGTTGGATTTATACTCCACAGCCTGGAGTTCCAGCAAGGTTATAAATTTATTTGGCAGAAGCAACTGAGCTGAAGGATATTTGTGCCTGTTTGATGGCTGGTTCAGGAGAGCATGAAGAACTTAGCAAAAGTTTATTTTGGCAGCTAAGACAAAGGTCATTAAGTGAAAGGAAGACAACATGGAACTAATGAAAAATCTGAGAGCATCATAGATGAATATATGCATGGAAATGTCTTCTCAAGGTTTTCTTTGTTGTCATTTGCTCCTCTGACATGGATATTCATTACTGACTCAGTTGTGTCAGGTCTGCTTTTGAAGGGCATCTTAAGGTTTCAGCTAAAATCCACAAAGTCCATTTCATATGCTCCATGAACCTAAGCATGTTGAACAGTCAGTCACAAGATTTACTTCCAAAGTACAATTCTGATTTGAACTAGAATGTGGATGTAGAAACAGCACCTGTGTCTGCATTATGGACAGTACCGGTATTATAACAAATAAATACTGGCTTTTTGGAGAAAAATCTTTCCAAAG